ATTCTTTATTCTGTATTCATGAGTCTTTCATTTTCCCCAACCTTTTTGGGTGTTTTTTAGAACAAATTCTGAGGATAACATTGACCACAAATGTCTGCTCTGTATTTGTGTGTTTAGTCATTCTGTTGTATCGTATTGTGACGCTTATCGTGATATTTATCATATTGTAAAGTTGCTGACAATACCTAGCCTTACTTGTGGCATCAAAAGCAAGATCGTTCACATCAGGATGTGAATTGTGTTTGGAAAGAAGCCTGTATTGTTCTTTTTTCTGTAAACTAACGTCCCCTTGAAATTTACAGAGGATACAATCATAATCACCACTTTTAGTGCCAGACACCACCATTATGGTGATAGGCTACAGATAGTCTTACCCACATGTACTCATATTGCATTTTACGTGGTGATCAGCCCAGCTGTGTGCCATAGTCTTTACTGTGGGACATGGTGCATGGTCATTAAGTGCAGGGTAAGTATCCAGAAGTCACGTGGCCGGGCTCTTGTGGCATGTACGAGAGCACAACTGCAATAAACATCAAGAGTCTCCTGGGAGGACCACAGAAAGCCTTTTCTTTCCTTCAAGGCCTTCAAGAAGCGTTACTCGGGCCTTCTCTATGATGTTATCATGTGAGCTTTGCCGACTCATGAAGCGGATTAGAAAACCCTCTGCCGCTGTATCTGGGCCTTCATGGCGGTGCAGCAATCCCAAGTATGTAGTAGAAAAACAGAGCAGCTTCCTGCCTTCTCCGCCAAGTGCAGCCTGCTGGTGACCCGTGCACTCCATCAAAGCCATTCAGGGCCGAAATAATCATTACCGTCCTTCATCAGCCGCCTTCGTAATTTCGACCCCTCTCCGCGGAGCAAAAATGTGTCTGGAGTGCTGTGGATGCTGCCAGTGTTCGTGACTGCATTCTGTTTTCCAAAGCTTATGAACATCTGGTTCAGTCACACGCAGCGCGCAGAAGTCACATTTCTGGAGCCTTTTAGGTTTTTTTTTGTTTTGTTTTGTTTTTTCCTTTGCGCAAGTTTCTTGTGCAAGTTGTCGCTGGATCCAACTTGTGATTAATGGAGCAAGTTTCTAAAACAGGATGACAACAAGACGTCAAGATTTTCTTATTATGTAGAACCCAACTATGTACCAAATTCAAGAAAATGAAAAGTTACACTCATTTTGTGGTTGCGTATAGTATTGTGCAAAAGTCAGAAACCACCCTTTCATTTTGATTTCAAAACACCGAACAAGTACAAGTTGCTTCAAGAAAAATCAGAAAACATATATTTAACAAAAAATTGAATGGAACCCTCAGGAACTGAATATAATATTACAAATTTTTCAGTATTCAGTGTGTCCACCCTTTATTACGGTGTCCATTCTTTTTGGGAGACTTGCTTTCAGTTTTTCCAAGGAATCTGTAGAAATATTTTTACATACCTCCAAAGTTCAATCTTAGAAGATGGTTGCATTTTTGGCTTCTCATTAATTCCAATTACAAATTAGACTCTTCATTCTGTAAAATCTTACTACACATCAAGTCCAGTTTTGGTGTTCTAGTGCATATTTTCTTCTTTTTGTCCATTAATTTTTCTCAGTAATGGCTTCTTGACAGCTACACATCCTTTCAGATCCATTGCATTGAGTTTATTCTCACAGTGGAAGGATGTGCAGGAACACCTGATTTTTTTTGTCCAGATCTGAAGCAAGAGTGGATTGTCTCAAAGATGGTATACAATCTCATTTTTCTGCACCTTCTAATGAGAAAAAGCCACCTAGTGGTAAAGTAACTGCTGCATTAGTAGCCTGCATGAATGCAAATGCAGTCTTGTTCACTTTCTCTGCAGATGTTGAACCAGCATGTATGTGTCCTTGCTGTTTTCCTTCTGAAAGTGCCAGCGGTGGCACTGTGAGGATTAGCTGGTTCCCCTTCACATAACAAAATCCTCCATGGGCCTCTCCAAGCATCCCAGCTGAGAGCCTATAAAATGCTGCAGCTCGATTAAAGCATGCTCCATTTAGCACACAGCGCCCCCTTTGGGGGTAAATAACCGCCCTGCTCTCTATTCCATATCCCTTGGAGCAGTAGCCAGACCTCTACCACAGACTGGAGTCTGATCAGTGTAAATGAATCATGGTGCATGTAACAGATCTGTCAGTCTCCCGTTTTGGCCACTTCCTTTTCACATTCCAACGACGCATCGCAAATTAGCTGAAGTAAACTTTCCATGGATTGTATTTGGACAGATGTGCCTTACGCTGTCATTAACATTTATCAAAGCCAGCTGTGCATGGGGTAGGGTGGGGGTTGGGGGAGTGGGTGACTGTTTTGAAGGTGCGTTAGCAGCTCCAGATGTGCCTATTTTTAAAACTTGTTGTCCAATGGCAGAGCTTGGATTGTGTAAGGGCATCCGGCGTCCGGCATGAGGAACTGGCAGGCAGATTTCCAGCTGTGTCAGATCCCAGTCAACACACAGCCACACCATTGCCCCACCTCAAAGTTAATGTAAAATTGTGTATGTACACTGATGACTTTGAGCATATAGATTGAAATGGTCAGTGAGTTGTTATGGTATAATTACATACTCTGGATGCATATATATATATATATATATATATATATAAATATATATAACATAAAGATTTGCAGTGTGGCCAATTAATGTATCACAATACTTCATCATTTCCATAATACATGCTGTGTATCACGATATTTTACGAGATTTGCGAACAAGTTGGGACAGATAAAACGCACAAGCAAAACAGTGCTGTCACTTTCAGAAACGTCTTCCACTCAACGTCTTCCACTCAAAGAAAAGGCTATGAAAATGAATACAGTGACTTTTCTTTTTTCAAAATTAAGATATTTAAGAAGGAATATGATAGAAAATTAAAATAAGATCATTTCATACTGGGGTAATATAAGCTACTTGTTACTATGTGCTTTGTTACTATACATTGGTTGTTTACTGGCTCTCAGTAATTTATCTAAATCCTATGGCACATGCAGTTGTTCAGTTTTGTGTATACACTCAGAAAACCATTTTGTGATGTAATCTATCATAATAATGCATTGTTATATTGCCCACACATAATATCATATGTAAATATTCACATTCAAACACTCCTTTGTAAACACATAGCAATAAGTCTCATGTAAGCATAAACACAAGCAGCACTGCAACAGCCTTCATTATAAAGCGTGCATCCACTCACCATGGGCACAATGTTTGCCCTATGAAGATGACATGGAGTTAAATACCAAATTATTAAAAATTGCTTTGGAAATGGGTAGAAAATGACATACTCCGTTCTATCAGGGTGGGATCTCATTTTTACAGGTCTTTTGACCGCATATTTTTGACAGGAGTTTCAAATTCAAACACTGGCATGCAGATGAATAATTGAACGATTGAGGTTGCTAAACAGTGGTTGGATGGCTGAGAAAATAAGACAGAGCTTGGTCAGTTGGATTAAACTGGACATTCTTGAATGTTGCATAATGACTTTGATTAGCCATAATACAGTGACAACACTCTCTGAAAACAAATTAAATTTCATGATCTCAAAAAATGCAGGTTAATTGTTCCTTCCCCATTTGATTGGGTAGGCCTGTGATTGATTGGCCTCTGTGTTCTTTTGGTGTTGCCATGATTTTGCAGTTTTCTTTGGAAATGAATAAAGTGTCTGTCTGGTTAGATCATTTCAGTCTCTAGGTTTAGTCTAATGATACATTACAGCTACTGGTTCTTCTTGTATTGACACAAATACAAATGTAGTTTCTCATACCGAGATTGACAAATCATTATGTGGACAGGCTAGCTGATGCCTTGGGATACTGTCTAGGCATGCTTTGTTTCAGCAATTGTGGAAAAACCTCTAGCCTCTTTCCACTACTGTTATACTCAGTCCAAGGCCGTGCCAGTCAAGGCTGGAGCGCCGAGGAGTGTCGGCCGAAAATGGAAACTGAGAGGTCCTAATCATTCGTGTAATCCTACTACTTTTACACCACAGTGGATTACCCCCTTAATACTAAACTGCCCCTGCCATACACGATTGTATTTCTGTTTTTCTCCCAAGTTCCACCCAACACCACTACACAAATAGAGAAGCCTCCAGTGAGCACTTGAGCTCAACCGCAGAAAATGGTCGCATTACATGCAGTTTGACTAAGGTCAGTAGCGGCTAACTGCAAACACTCTGTCATCGGGCCAGTGCGTGGCTTGCAGTCGGAGCCGCGGTGGGCCAAGCTTCCCTCCGCAGTGTCCGCTTAATCGCAGTGAATCTATGTTCTGCGGGGTTTTGTGGTGGAGGAATCCGCCTCTGCGCCGGACAGCAATTTAGAGCGGCTTTTCCTCTCATTGCCTCTGGCACCGAAAGCCATCATTATGAATTTCCTTAAGGCTCGGGTTCAGCGACCACAGCACGCATAACATGAGCCATTTTAGCATTAGAATGGTGCCTCACGTTTATACTCATCTCTTGGGTTGTATTTGGCGGTTGCCACCATGACTTGAGGAATGCTTCTGTTTTCAAAGCAGGCTATTAGAAAACAAAACTGTCTATCAGAGCATCTTTGATAGATGGATAGTTATAGCTGGAATCCCACAAGCAGCAGGATACAGCAAGAACTGTTTCTTTACTGTACTTCTGTGCGCAGGCGTGTAAAGTTTGGGTAATGAATTAGTGCTGGGAATTTAAGCCGCACAATGAGACTGTGTTGGGGTGCAGAAATGATTTAGTGGAAGAGCTGTTTGGAATGACACAAATGTAGCTTGGCTTTATCTAAAAGTGCAATTTTGCATTTTTCATCTAACTCTGTGTTTGTTCATTTTTTTTTCTCTGCTGTAACACAGAAGACCGAAATGATCATGCTGTTATTGCATTGAATTGTTGTTCATATGCTTGCATAAATAACAATAATAACATGTTGATACAACAAAGGGAAGGATATCAGCTTGCAAAATACAGTTGCAAAATAGATACCTGTTATACTTTTGCCTTGCAGATCCACATATCAAAGTGAGTGGGAAAAGGGACAACGTGAAGGAAGCCAAGGAGAAGATCATGTCTGTTCTTGATACTAAGGTGAGCACTTAAGCCAGATATTTGATGGCCTCTAAAAAAACAACCTGAATTTGAATGCTATTTGAATATCTTTCTGTTTATAATTAGCATTTGAATATCCCATCAAGTGAAATACTGTGTATTGTTATGAATAAAAAATAAAACAAAGACATGGAAGATTCAACATTTATTTGAAGCTGGCACAAGAGTGGTCTGTACCTGATTAGCTGATTTAGTGCTCTATCCTTGTGTTTTAGGCACATAGTATTTAAAATACTGTTAGCTGACCTACTTTAACAAATTGAGAGAATATACACAGTCCATTGAACTTTTTGTTCCAAACAACACATACATTATTTCACTACTTAGTTAAGTAAACGAATACTAAGATGAGTTCTATTAAGCACATATTCTAATTGATACCATGGCCAAGCTTCATATGCATGTATTCGACTACTTGAGTCACAGGCAGCTACTACAGGTAAAAAACTATAATGGAGAAACCGACGGGGATTGTTTCCAAAGTCTTCAAGAGGCCCAACAGTCCATTTAAAAGAATTCTGTGTGTGTGTGTGTGTGTGTGTGTGTGTGTGTGTGTGTGTGTGTGTGTGTGTGTGTGTGTAGTCCACGATCTTATTTGATCTTATCTGACCTCCAGACTCTCAGGGTGGTAACAGCCTTACACCACGCAAAAAGTGTGGCACGATAAACAATACCTATTCAGAGCTGCCATGGCAGCAATTTGCACATCGTTGTGGTTTTAACGCTGGGGGATTTTCATCTGTTCTAGAGCCAAGCTGTTTTAGCTTTTATTTCCAATTTTTCTAATTTCTCAGAAATTCAATTTAGACATGTGAAAGTTAAAATTTTACTAATAATGTTACATTTCAACTGGTAAAAATTATATTTTAACTTGTAAGAAATTCATTTTTACAAGTAAAAATGTCATTTTCACTTGTGTGAATTGAAATCCTAAAAGCTGAAACTGCTAGCAATTTATACAATTAATACAAACATGGCAGTTAGAGTCTCAAAATGTCCAATTTCCTATTTATTTGGATTACAAGCTAAACCTCCCATACACTGGAGGGGGGAATCTGTGAAACATTAAAATTGACACAGGAAGAAGAGGCCATTTTAAATACTGAAATCCTGCTCAAGCAAGTCCCCTTTCTCCTCCAGCAGTTAAAAGGTTTACCAGGGAAAATTAGTGGTTTAGGCGTTGTTTTTTTTGCCGGATTGTGTTGTGGTATAAATTTCTACCAGCGTATGTAAATCAGGTAAAAGTGCAGCCACTCCTCACACCGCCCAAGCGATATAACTTGCCGTTAATCCACGTTTATGAAGTAGCAGATGTGTTATACTGTTAGAAATAAAGGTTCTGTGCTGGTAAATTTTCTGTTCATCAAGGTACAAACAATGTAAATGTAACCTCAAAGGTATAACAGTGGTTCTCAGGCCCAACTGTGTAAACTAAATAAGTTTTTCCCAGGTGAAAAGTATGTAGTTGTACCTTTTCATGACAATGTTTTAAAACAGACTAATAAAATAAAAAGCCTGGAAAGCCTTTTTTAATTAACAGAACTACCCAAAAGTTATGTTGGAGTTGGACTACAAGAATGGAAACATTACTGATTCTTCTATATTGGAGCAATGTTTTTATTCCATTTCTTAGGCCTGGTCAGAATATTGGTCACAGTCACATTATTCTGTGCCTTCAGCATGCTCAGAATCATTACAATAATAAAGTAGTGTTAATTGTTTTGTTGATTCTTGCACTCAGAGCCTGGCCTGTGTTCTGTAACATCAGTACTGGGGCTGCCACTTTGTTGTTCTGCAATCCCAGCTGGTCTACACAGAGTTGAGAGGTCTCTTGCAGTCACTGACCCTGCACACAGCAGTCAGGCTGCAGTCACACCCACTCAGAGTCCATTGGATGATGGAAAGGCAAGAGCAGCCGCTCATTGGTCAAGTTACCTCTCACATTGAGAGGGCCATGCTCCAGAACATTCCATCACTACTGGAGCACAGCCTGTGTGGTCGCTGAACAAGAGCAGGACAGCTGACCTCCGTCACATCTGGGTCTCCTCATCCCTCTGTTATGCACTGACGCTGATCTGGGAATAGCTTCCACTGCTGAATTCATTCTTAACGATGGAAACTGACCCCATATAGCCAAAATGTAATCTTATGTTACACAATATGTATCGTAGGGCTGTAAAACAATTTAAAATAATTAATTGCCATTGTATTGTTTTTTGTACTTAATCAAAATAGATTACATTTGTCTTATTTTATCAAATTTAACTTATGCAATTTTTTGTGAGCTATATAAGTGGACCAAATAAGGTTCAGTATATTGGCCCTTATTCATCAAAGTTCTGTAAAAAGGAGTGCAGATTTGACGGCCTTTTAATGACATGCAAACTGCTCTACATCTGATTTATGAAACTTTCGCACGACGTGAAAACAAGCAGAGATTTGAGCGCAAATGATGAATCAGCATCAGTGCATAAAATCAAGCACCAGCCTACCAGTACCTCATTTACATATCATTTACATAAAGCATGCCCTTATTCATACAGACATTATGGACCACATTCAGCAGCTCTTGAACCAATGGCTGTGCTCATAGCTGGAGTTTGAAGATAAGCAGTCCTGCTGACCAAACTTTATACTGTTAAAATTCAGACAACTGGAAAGAATAAAATGTGAAATAAACAAAATTTCTTAATGTTTTTAAGATGGTAGAATGTTGTGATTCTGTAGTGTGATTATTTTCCTAACGTAACATATTCAAATGCTGTATTCTTGCAGTGTATGAGATGCTGCTTTACTAGTGCTTTGTATTTATTCTTTTTTTGGCAGTATTAGTGGTATAAGACAAAAACACAGTATAATATTGTCTGTAAATGGAACATGGAATAGTTGCAGAATTTGTTTCTACCAGTGTGCATGTAAAATAAGTACAGCCACTTTTGTACTGGATTGTTGTCATTTTCAGTTTTTATTCTCAGAATTTTGGATGTGAAATATATATTTTTTTCTTGTTGTTAAACTGTTATGCTCAACTTTACACACACTTGTACCAGACATGAGTTTTCTTCTTCATTTTTACACTGGAGGCTAATGAAGCTAACAAGTAATGGAAGATTATACACCACCAATTAGCAATTGGTCATCACCTCAAACAGGGTTGAACTGTTAAGTAATCTCAAATAAGCATGCTTATGTGGTTTCTAATGCTGTATAACCAACTTGAACCTACAAAAAAGAACAGAAGTGCAGACCAAGTGTAGACCTCAAGATGGTTGCAGCAACTATTTTTAACCACACAGTGTATTCTTGCACTAAATTAGATGTTTTCGCCAAGCTATTCTTTTAATGTGTTTCATTGGACTGCTTCAGTTAAAGTGGACATGCTGTTCAGAGAGGGCTCCCATAAGACTGGTTGTAATAGGAAAGTATGACTCACTCCTGTAACTCATAGATCTGTATCACCACCTTAGCGACAGTTTTAATGGTGCAGGTCTTGGTCATCAATCTGTAATGTCTGCTTTTGTTGTACATTCGTCCTGTTCTGTCCATGGGAACGCTTGGATGATCGCTTCTACGTGTTTTTTGCAGAGTAATCGTGTGACTTTGAAGATGGACGTCTCACATACTGAGCATTCCCACGTCATCGGGAAAGGGGGAAACAACATCAAGAAAGTGATGGAGGACACAGGCTGCCATATCCACTTCCCTGACTCCAACCGCAACAATCAAGCCGAGAAGAGCAACCAGGTCTAATCACACTTAATTGTATTATTTATATACATCCACAGTTTAAAATGCCTCATAAAACAGCCCAGATCGTTAAGATGTAAACAGAGTCATCCAGAGTGGTTTGATGTGAAATGCGAAACCTCTCGGAGTTAGAATTGTTCACAGTGGTGGTGATAGGAACCAGACGTCTGAAGTGTTTAATGCCTCGTAAAGAACCCTAACCGAAAGTTGTTACATCAGGTAGTTATGAGTGTGCTACCTGATGCCTGAGACATTATTATTATTTTTTTTAATAATAAGGCAAAGTAGTACCCAGATTTCAGATTTACCAGTATTTTATCATTGTTAGCATTACATATAAAAACTCAGAAGACACAATAAGTTCACTGGTAAGTTGTTCTACAATGCACCATTTGAATTAAATTATGTAGAAATTTTGAAGCTGAATGTTGCAGAATATGCCCAAAGTATTAGCAAGGAGCTGGCTTATATTACCAAAATATTTGCAGTTTGGTTGTCCCAATCCATCCAATCTGATCCAGGTGTCTTAATGTTGAGTATCAGCCAACACCGATCTTATCTATTCTTTATATTTGTATAGATAATACAATAGGGGTCCACAGATTTGGGTTTTTCAGGGCCGATACAGATACCGATTATTAGTAATCAGGGACACTGATAACTGATATTCTTTTGCCATATATATGATGTTTGTTGTGTAAAACTTTACAAGAAATAAACTCTCACTGACATCTTACATTATATAAATATTAGAACATTGAAAAAATAAAGTACTTTGAACTTTAGATAGTATATGTTGCAAAAATAGTTACTTAAACATTTTAAAGTTACATTTAAACAGATGAAAATTTTCCATTCCAAAAATTATAGCAATATATTTACACATTTTTTATATAAAACAAATACGTAGTATGAGTCACTGACAGTGTTGAAAGGGCACACATTAAGGGTGGAGTTCACCTTTTTTCGCTTTATGGGTGCAAGCGAGAAAGCCTAGATACAGGCTAAAAACTGTATAAAGCCTACACTAACCAAATACAACGAACTGCAAATGTAACCCCAGTAAAAATATCACAGTGAGCATCTTAGCAATCATGCAGTACAAATTGCCACCACTTTGTCAAAAGAAACAACAAAGAGGGTATACAAACGCCAACATGCTTATTTTCATGTATTTTATTTTCTTGTATGTATATAATGTATATTATGTAATAACAAGCAGTAGTTGGACGTTGAATGTATCAGATGTATTCTGACTGGCTCTTGAAAATGCAAAAGGCTTCTCTCACAAACCTGAAAAGCATGTTTGATGATTTACTCAACATGGTCCACATTTCAAGCATTCTAGTAACACTGTGGGCAGGCCATTGGGCCAGTTTACAGAAGTGTGATTTATTTATTTTTTTTCGTAGTTGCATCAGATATGCACATAAACAACAAAAAACGCTTTTATCAGCAAGGAAGCAAGTTCAAATGCCAGTTTCGGTAATCGGAAAAATACTGAATATCGGCTCCTATAATACTATTATAGGTTATTCTAGTATGCTGATTAATACTACAGTAAAATCACTTAATGTGTATACAGTATGTACGAAGGTGCATCTGTTTTGTTTTGGTGTGTTGTGGACTTAATGATTTTACATGAATAATGTGTCAATTTGCTGCCTAACTATGCCCAGTCTTGCCAGCAAAGCAGCACTGCCTGGGACAGTTGGCGGTTAGGCACCTTGCCCAAGGGCACAAGCAGATACTCATAGTCAGTCCTGGGATTTGAACCCATGGACTTCTGATTGATGACTCACCTCTTCTACCATTTTTGATGTATGAAAAATGATGCATAGTCTGAACTTATAGGTCTGATTTTTTAGGACTAACCTTTGATAGTATTGTGGATACATTATTAATATATTTCTCTTAATGCTTGCTATTTTTTCTCTGTTTTGAATGTTCTGTTAAATGCTGATGTTAACTCAGAAACAGTGCGTGGCACTGCTGCCTATAAAGCAGAACATACATACATGCATGCATACATACATCATCTAAACCGCTTATCCTTCTGGGTCGCGGTGGGGTGCTGGAGCCTATCCCAGCTGTCATTGGGCAGAAGGCAGGATACACCCTGGACAGGTCGCCAGTCCATCGCAGGGCTAAAGCAGAACATTTCCGTAATAATTTCATTTTTATCCAGTTGAGACTTACAAGTAAAAATGTGACAGGAGTGTACATATTTCTGGTGGCATGTTGCCCACAGTAAACGGCAGAAAATATACATTAAGACTATATGCCACGCACTCACATTTTACATGTCCTTGTTTACATGAGAGGCAGCTAGTTCAAACACAGTTGAAATGCTGATTTTGCAGATATTCCACTGGATCGAATTGGCACATCACTACTTTGCAGCTCTTTTTTATTGATTCATTTGAAATTAGAGTGAAAAATCTCAATTATAAAATGTACCTCACACATTTGACAGACGGTATATTCTTAGAAAGTGGTTCTCAACCCACCGGTGATCTCTATTTTTTCTCTATCCATATTTTTGCCTGTTGGGTTGGAGCAAAAATGTGGACTGTCTGGGGTGCCTGAAGACTGGTTTGATAACTGCTGTTCTAAGAAGAGTCTAGGCTGCATGCGTGTCTAAAGCTTCTGAGAGGATGACAGAAGGACACTCTAGTAATCAGATGTGAGCATCTTTTCCTGACTTGGTGAGGTGGAAATTGAGCAATGCCACAGCTCTGCCCAGTCCAAGGCGCAGGCAGTTGCAGTGGACTGACGGGCTGCTACTTGTTGACAGGGAAATGAGAGCCAGACAGAGTAGGATGAAGAATGAAGAAATGTGTGGTACCAGTTAGCCCTCTCAGACTCTACTGATTACGACTGCTGAACTTTTTAGGCTCCTGGTGGTGCACTTGTTTTAACATTTGGCAGCAGGACTATTGCTTATGTAATTTCAAGGAATAGAGTATTTCATTATCTCGACACATGTTGCTCTTTAAAGCAGAACTTCAGCTAGGAATGTAATACATCTCGATCTTTGTATCCAGTTTCATCAAACGCCTGATGCTCTATATTATTTGTGCTGAGTTACACCCATCTCCATCTACTAGATAATGTTTTGGTTCTAATCAGAGCTGATAGTTACGCAGATCAACTCAATGGCCCCAAACATGGAGTTTTTGATTGTTTGGGGACTTTGGTGTACACCTAACCACAGGAGGGATCCAACACATGCTTAGTAACATGACTTCTCTGTCTCCTTCTCTGTAGGTGTCCATTGCAGGCCAGCCAGGAGGAGTGGAGGCGGCCCGGGCCAGAATCAGGGTAAATAAAACATGAACAAAATAAAACACGAACAGCAGTCTGTAAATGCTTTACTGCTGTTTATTACGACCTGTGATCTATGTTGAGACACACAGCGTGTTGCTTCACCGCTTCGGCCAGCACGATGTCCAGCTCAGGAGATGGATGGTGGGGAGTGGAGGTGGGATGTTCTTGTTTATCCTGAATAGGTCATCAGGTATAGAGGTGTTAACATGAATAACTGTGGGTGTAAATCTCTGAACTCACAGAGATTTCATACAATTTCTGTTCTGTAGAAAACAGTTCAGTATTTTATGAAAGCTTAAATTTTACGATTTGATTATTTTTATATTATTCAGAATTATTTAAAAAATACACTATACACAAATGTGACAGGAATTATGTACACAGTACTGGAATATGGACAATATTTGTGCATCCTTTACTGAATATTATTATAATCAAGTAAAACATTCAACAAAAAAGATGCAGTTGAACCAGTGCTGTCAGAATGGTGCATCATACATCATGATTTTTTTTTTTAAATGGACAAATCCATTTAGCGGCATCTAAGTGACCATGGCAATGTGGTGCAATTACATTCCTCTGACTAAAGAGGAAAAAAATGTTTCCACTTCCAGCCACATGTGGAGGTTTAAAGTCCTGCCCTCTGCTGGCTGGACCTTGCCAATACAGTACAGGTACTACAGTAGACTGGTTATCTTTCTTTAAATTAATTTAGTTAAAAAGACTCCAAAAAACAACAAAAAAACAGTTCCAGTTCCAGTATATTTTTCATAATCAAAATCATAAAATCTTATGGCCAATTCAGGAATGTATTTTCAAAGCAAAAATTTGATATTAAGATAATATTTTTAAGTTATATTTTTTAGTTCAGGTGAATTCTCATGAAGCTGTTTGATAGAATTTTTATTATAATATAATATTGTATTGAGGAAATATAATAAACTCAAAGACTTTCTTAATAATTCTCAGTCAAAAACTGATTCAGTTAATTTACTTCAGTAACGTTTATTGCAACAAGAGCAATTTTAAAAGAACATTCTCTAGACGCATTACATTTCCTGAAAATTGTGTGTGTGGGTATGTGTGCGTGTGTTTGTGGGTAAATGTTGACTAATGAAGATTAACACAGGTTAAAGATTAAAAAAAGGAAAAGATAAAAAAAGAAAATGACTATGTTATGACTAAATTATTAGCTGAGTAAAATTATGTAGCCATGTAGTGATGATTTGCACTGTCTATACACTGCTGGTGATTTATGTAAGTCAGCTGTTCAACCAGGAAAAAAGGCCTATATTTTGGGTAACATCTTTAGTGAATTATTTTAAAGTTGTTTTATAATAATTTTCTAAAATTATCATAAAATCTGTCCAGTCTCTCACAGTATTGCTGTCATGGCTGTGCATCCTCTGCCACACTGTGTAAGAGGAGAGGATGCTGTAAAGCACACGCATCCCTCAGATCATTTGTTTTGCAAGTTCAGTACAGGCTGTGTGCAGTATATTTTTCCAAATAAAGAGCTTTGTTTGGCTCTTTGCAGCAACTTCTGCTTCATTATTCACATAGTAACTCTGATAATATGTTATCTACATAAACAAAACAGAGTTAAAATGTTAGCACACCAAGTTTCATTCAATTAATATCAGTCGATTTTTGACGAATACAAACTATTCAGTATTTTTTCTTTTTAACAAATGATGCAGTTCCATTGGAAGAAATTATAGATGATGCATCGAGGAAACAAACGAGTCATTACGCCGCTGATTACACATGAGGTTCAGCATCAAAGAATTACTCAATTATCACATGATACAAGCAAAGCTGAAACTAGATTGGACTTCTTTGTGCTTTAATGCACACAAAGATTTGTGGCAAAAACAAAATGTGGATAAATTTGAGGCTGGGAAACAGGTATCAGTCTATTCTGCAACAAGAGCTGGAGAAGCATTTTATGATGAACCAGCGAGCTGATGTGAAATTGAAATTATTACAGATGTCATCAAATGCTTCTGACCAATCTCTGGACCTGGAAATTTATTGAAAGGGGCAGATCTGGGTTCAAATCCCAGAGCCCTTTATGCGTAGGCTTTTACATAAGAAACAGTCACAAACTTTTACCATTGTTTTATATAGCAATTTGTAAGAAATTAGTGTCTTTGCGACAAAAATATTTTGCGTGGTCTAAACAATATATTTTAATAGTATTGGACATTGTACATCATATTGAGGTTTATATGTCTTAACAGTTAGGGTTCCTTTTAAAATAATAGCATATTTTCATGGTTTTCCTGGGGTCATACAATCTAACTTATCATACCAGCCTCACCATGACTCCAGAATGACAGTTATTTTTCAGTATTTATAAAAGAGCAATAGACTTTGGCATTGCAATTTCACTGTTGTCGGGTTGTGCTACGTGATATTTGAGGAAATCTGAATTTATGGATGAAACTCTTGCGAGTAGTTAAATAATGAAGTTGCTTCACATGTAATTCATGTTATGATTTTAAAGGTTTAAAATCTAAAATCATGCCAGACTTCTTTAAACAGCTGAAAGATTTTCAGATCACATGTTGTTGCGTTTTTTTTTTTTATTTATAACCTGCATTATCAAAAATGTCTGAAGTTTTAAGAGAGGAAATTTAACCTAATAACACAGAGTTGTATACTGCCTGTAGACTTAGATCAGTCAGAGGCAACCAGACCTTTGTGTTGTGACATCATAACCACAACTTACTAGATCTCTGGCACGCTACATTTAGAGGTCAAGCCTCAGGCCAGAAATGTGGATATTCTGGTCTGCTTGTTAAAAAACAGATCTGAACCTTAATTTATAGAAAATAATCACAATTTAAATAGCAGTCGCAATATTAGTCAGAAAAATCACAATTAGATATTTTCCCTAAATCGTTACTTCTCTATTCAGAACTTTATATAATTAAATCACCCTTGTTAATAGTTTCCTTATTCTTCATATACGGTTGGACATTTTCAGGCTATGGGAAGCATAAATGCCTAAAGTGTAATAATAAAGTGATATGTAGTATAAAATTTAATTTTGATGCAATGTATTCATATAAAGCAGCTACAAAAAGAGAACTGTGTGATGCATGTCATGTGATTTTTAATTATTTTATAGAAAAGTAATGGAGTTGGACACAAAAGATGCACTTCATGTCATTGTCCCATATCTCACTGTGCGCTGTAATGTGAAGTGTCACGCAGAAAGATTTAAGCAAAATATCACAATTTCTCAAAAGGTCTTTTAATATCAACATAGTTTAAATGTGTGAAATATGGTCAAAAACATGGACCTAGTTAAAGGTCTGGTCTTTCTGATGTTCATCTGTGACCCTGTCTAGGAGCCTGTTGCTAACTAGTTGATGTGAAACACATGGCAGCAGCCTTTAGCTGTGCTTTTAAACAGTGTAAGCTGGAGGCCCAGAGGTGTACCAGGCCATTTGGCTGGGTGTTACCACCGCACTGGTGCTATTCGGCCATGTCCAGGCACTCTCCTCGAGTTACACGCCTGCCAGGCTTCTTCACACGTGCTTCCTCTTCACGGGCCACCAAGAAAAACAAGCACCAGCAAGAGCACATCAGCTCTTCTCGCAATTAGTGCCAAAACCGAGACCCAATTATGCGTAGGCTCTTACAACAGAAGCGATCCCAAACCTTTGCCATTGTTTTATATAGCAATTTGTAAGATATTGAGCGCCTTCGCGGTAGCCAGTCAGCCCGAGTGCGGCTTCCAAATCATATGAAGTATAAGCAAAGTGGTGCGGAGGAAACTTATACTTGGGAAAGGAAAACAGAGTCTCTCACTTTTCTCCCTTTCTCTCTCTCTCTCTCTCACACTCTCTCTCTCGCCATCTTTCTCGCGTGACCGCTGCTGCTGGAAATTCCACTCCTGACCGCCCCAATCATCTCTACTTTTTCCTTTTCCTCTCTTTCTTTGAAGGAGTGCCTCCTTTACTTTTTCTCATTTCTCATTTGACACGAATTGGACAGCATAGAGAGATATTGAGTGCGTTTTACTGACCCACTTAAGAAGGAGTCTGAAATTCAGTGTTTTTCTTTCTTTTTTTGTGCCGACATGAGGCCAGAGAATTAATATTAATATTCATTAACCCTTGAGGAAAAAAAATCTTACTATCGTGAGAAGAGTTCTCCTCTTACTGTAGCTAACCAGCAAAAACGAACACAAAGCATGTGTCTCGTACATTGTTTTCTGTGTCCAGTCAAACTATTTCCTCAACGCTTGATGCTTCAGCGAGATTAGGCTGTTTAAAAATTAGCCTTGCATTCTTCATGGAGCAGATGTCATTACTCTGCTATGAGACAGAGAGCATTGTTAAAGCCCCTTGTTAACAGTATTGGCTAAGCAAATATGCTGAAAGCCAAACGCATAGCAGTCATTGATTTTGCAGGGTCAAAGGCTCAGATGTCTAGTCCCCGCCTCCCCTGCAGTGTGTAAAACAATCTGACTGTGATGTTTCAATTTAAAACTTATATTACAAAATCAAAACAAGCTCACAAGGGTTACAGCAATTCAGTGTAACTGAGGCCTGCTGATGGGTGTGCTTGCTTGTGGCTGACTAGAACTTGGGTGGTGCTTCTAAAACCAACGAATTGTGAGCTATTGGAATTCTTTCACTTAAATGCTTTGTCCTTGACTGTTGTCCGGCTGCATGTTCCTCCTGGGCCCAATGGAAGCCTCTCCCTGTTTTAAGGGGAGTTCCTTCCTTTACCACATCAGAAGGGGCTCAGAATGTCTTTCATTTCGGTCCCCGGTACAGAATGCAGAACGTTAGTACAGGCCCTGGAGCATATGGGACTGATCAGAGATGCTGTTAGGGTCTGGCTGGCCGCTCTTGTTTACCATTCGAGTTTGGTAAGGCAGTCTTTCCAGGGCCCACGAAGTCTCAAAATCATAGGGGAGGGTTTGTAATTTGGAGTGATGTTTTTGCTTGTGATGCGTTTGTTCAGGAACTTGTCTCTCTGGAGTCTTCCATCATATGCGTCCTAGACCACAGAGATTCGGTAAAGAACGTCGGTTTTTATGCTTTTGAATGTTCTCCCTATGTGGCCTTGGGCCAAATGCAGTGGTTTTGGGTGTGGTTTGGGCAATTCCGCACGATACACAGTCAAAGCCGGCCAGAGTAGTCTTGTGTCCAAAATGATGGCGCCAGGTTCGTTCTACTTTATGCTGACCTTGCTTTCTCTAGCTAAATCTCCTACACAGCAGATTTCAGCTATGCTGGATAGGAGATTAGGTAAATGACTACCAGCCAAATCATATGGTATTTGTTGTCTTTCAGGAGCTGCTTCCGCTGGTGTTAATGTTCGAGCTGCCAGTCATAGTGCAGCTGAACCCGGACCCCAGCTCACCGGCCATCCAGCATATCTCCCAAACCTACAACATCTCTGTGGCCTTCAAGCAGCGTTCCAGGCTCTATGGTGCTACAGGGGTCGTGAGAGGATCACAGAACAATGCAGCAGCTGTGAAAGTGGGTATAAAGCAATGATGTTCCTGAAGAACACAGTGGCACCATGAGGATAATATGTATGCCAATTAGCATCACGCAGTGTGTGATGTAAATAAAATTTTTTTACTTCATTTTTATTTGCTTGTTGTATAATGTTATTAGTTGTTTAGGTTTTGGTTGGAAACAAAAGGGTTAAATTCTTGAAACATCTAGCAGAAAATTGTCCAATCAGGATTTTTTTTTCTTTATAGTATCTTGGTAGATACAGCCAGCCATGCTCTTTCATTGGCTATCCTGAAGGCTAAACGTATCAGGGTAACAGTTAACATAATTAGGAACTTAGAGTGGAATTAACTAGTCATGATTTAATTTACATAAATTTCAATGCAAATTTATTCCTCTGGCAAATAACCTGTAAGCACACTATCCACTGAGGAGATCATACCTCCTATTAAGACAAAGTTCTGATCAGCATCCAGCTTGACACCTGTTAGCTCTCTTAGCTCATTAGCTTATCTGAAGAGGCAGCCTCTGTTACTCATCCAGCATGAAAACCTAACAATGTCTCTTGGCTTTTTTTGAAAAATAAAATCTCCTCTGTGTGCTGCTATATTTTTGTGCAACACCAGTGCTGTCACCTGAAAAGTTAGACCAAAGCTCTACATTATTTTCATTCTGATTGTTTTCACCCTTTCGGTTACCCGGATAACAGCCTATGATACTCGAATATCAAAAATAGTTGATCGATAGTCAGAAATAATCAGTATCGAAAAAAGTCAGCAACTCTGTGGCAGGACTTTTACTGAAAGTCACTGTAACACTTCTACAAGGTAAAATATAAAATGTACAATAGAATGTTTATGTGAATCACTGTAAGCTTAATGCTAATATATTACTACTAGTATCCCACAGAGGCACAAGGAAAAATTTACATTATTTCAGTGGAGTTTTTTTCCCCTACGTTTTGACATACATGGCCCAAATCAAAGGCCTAGCTCTAATAGTCACATTTCTCCATTGTCAATATGTAGTACATAATGCCCACCTAAATCATTGCACTCTTGCCCCAAATGCCACTGGATTGTTAAGTAATCTTGAATAGACGTGCACGTGTCATTTCTAATGTTATTCTAATACTGTAAGGCATGCTATTATCTGACAATGCACAAAAGTGTGAGCAAAATTCAGGCTTAAAAAATAGTAACTGCTCCTGTTTTTAGCTATTGTACAATTGCATATTGTTCAAAGATATACATTATTATTACATATAACAGTATGTTCTAGTGTTAGAAACCACATAAAAAAGTGGAAATAACTTTTTTTTTAAGTTAACAACTGCACATACATTTAACTTTTGCGTAAATTCACTAAGCCTCTTTACGTCATCTGCTCTATAGAAATTATATGCAGTCCACTCCGGTTTTTGCAGCTCACCAAGGGAAATCCACTTGAACTCTTTTCTGCCCCCTCTGGTTGCGGCTGCTCTGCTGAGTGTGGGGAACGCCCACAGGCTTAGTGGACAAGGCTGCTGGCTGTGTGCTTGGTATGGAGAGGGTTTGGAGTGTCTGGAGTTTGCTCTGGTTCCCAGGGTCTTGCCCTCCCTTACCCAGCATTGGAGGGACTCCATCCGGCCATCAACTGTGCCTGCTATGCACTGAGAGCCGGCATGGAAGCCCTGTTCCAAAACCATGCACCACTGCAGCCAGAGAACAGGCGACAGAGGAACCCCCAAAAAAGAAGCACTCGTTTGTTCCTGTGGAATAACAAAAAAAAATCACTGAATTAAAATAGAATGCTGTATTTGGCAAAACATTATGTGAATGTAAATCACGTCTCAAGTTTTTTTTTTGTGTAGAAGCATAGAACAAACAGCAATTTCAAAGCTTCCATTTCTGTCTAAAATTCTTGAACGAGTTGTTACTAATCAACTGCTGGCTTTTTAAGAAAGCAGTAATCTTTTCTAAACTTTCCGGTGTGGTTTCCGTAAGCACCACAGTATTGAAACTGATTTGACTAAGGTCATAAACAACCTTCTTATATCTGCAGATGCTGGAGCCTTTAGCATTCTTACTTTACTAGATCTGACTGCAGCTGTCGGCACGGTGCGTCATTCTGTTCTCTGTTGAGGATTCATGAGCTGGGCATTGTTGGCTGTGCACCAGATTGGTTCACGTCTTATCTCACCGATAGAAAGCAGTTTATTTCCCTCTTTGGCTTTTCTACTGCAACTTTTTTTTCTTATCACTCAAGGGGTTCCTCAGGGTTCAGTCCTCGGACCTCTCCTCTTCATCACTTACATACTCCCCTTGGACATGTTATACGTCACTTTAAACTGGACTTTCACTGCGGATGACACCCAGATTTATCTCAGGCCCAAATCCATCATAAATCCACCCTTAAAACAGTCAGAATCTTGTTTATTTGAGATTAAACTCTGGATGAAACCTAACTTTCTTACGTTAAATACTGACAAGACTGCACTCATGTCATTGGCTGTAAATCAACTCTCAATAAATAACTGTCTAACTGACTAATAACTGTCTCTGTAACTGTTTCACTTCATCTTTTACAATATAGTGAAAATTTGACCATTCCTCTCTCTGTTTCTGCTGTATCTTGTTTTCATGCCTTTGTGTCCAGTCGGTTGGACTACTGTAATTCTCTCCTTGCAGGCATAAGCTCTTGTAATTACTGTAGCTCCTCCAGTTAAATCACGAACACAAGGCGTTCCTTGAGTAACAAGCATTTAATTTGCACATCCTTGATGTCAAAAAATGCAGTGAGAACTAGATAAACAAATACACAAATTATAAAATGAGTCTACTGTATAAACATTAAAAACAGATCTCACAACACAAATATAGCTCACATAATCTATTAAACGGAAGGCTATAAGGCACTAAATTTGTAGATAATTAGCTTGCTGAACATTCATCACGTTACTGTATGAACTCCACTAGCATTTTAGCTGTAGGCTAACCCATATCTATAAACATAATGTGGAAACGCACATATAACCTTGCCTACCTCACTGGTCACACTCAAAGCCCAATCTTCACGAACTGTAATATACAGTAACATAAACATCCTCCTGAAGCTCAACTTGTGCTCTGCTTCTTGTCTTAATGCATAGAGCCTGCCAACATAAAGTCCAACCCATATCTATGATACAAGAATATTGGTTCCACTATGGCTTATACAGGTAGCTTTAGACATATGTTATGTTATATTATACGCTAATTATATTTATGTCAACCACCAGAATTACATTATGAATTCAAACTGCACAACTGACCTTGACAGCAGTTACAGCTCCTCTTCCCTTCACTCACTTCAAATTGTCCAGAACTCCGCTGCTCGCCTTCTCAGTTATTCTCTCTATCACAGCCGCATTACACCTGATCTCCATGATATCCACTGGCTTCCTGTAAAGTACGGCATTCACTTCAAAATTCTTCTGCTCACTTACAAAGCCCTTAACAACCTCACTCCTTCCTACCTGTCTGATCTCCTCCTTCCTTATAAACCCACCCATATTCTCCACGCCAACTGATTTGCTGACCATGCCTCCATTTACCTTCAATAGTTATGGAGATCGAGCATTCCCTAGATTTGCTCCTCGTCTATGGAACTCTCTTCCTTCATATGTCTATCATTCAGATTTTCTGTCCACATTTAAAACAAATCTCAAAACACACAATTTACAACTTTACCAAGCTAATGCTCCTTTTCATTATAACCTGACCCTGTCTTCTTCTCTGCTGTCTGCTTCTGTGTTTTCTGTGTTTGTCTTGTGATGTTTTGTGCTCTATCACTATTGTAAGCGTCTTTGGGTTCTTGGAAAACATACGCAAGTTTCATGTATTATTATTTTTACAAAGTGCAAGTAAATAGAGAGAAATATCTGTATATGTTTAGTGTGGGTGACAAAATTGCACACATGCTGTTAATGTTGTAGAACAGTGGTTTGCTTCCTGGGTCTTGGAATATCCCTGCATATTTTGATGGTTTTGTTACTTTTAACACACCCAAGCCAACTAATTGGCTAATAAACAAATCCTTCCTGAGTTGAAGTGGGTGCAGTGTGCCGGGCAGTCCAGGACCTGGACTGAGAACCACACTTAGACTGTAAATGACTGTAGAAAAGAAGAAAAATGGGTAGTAATCCCATAAGAATGGTTTGGATCAAAAAATCAAATTTACACAGTTTTCCACTTAACCTCAAATGTAGTCAGTCAACCGAGACATATTTTGTGTCCAAATTTTGCTTTTTTAGTTTCACATTATGAGGCTTTCCTAACAAACACTAGAAGTCAATAGTCATCCAAATCTATTGTGTAAATATGTTCCCACAACTTAACAACTTGCTAAAACTGCTTCCACGTCTTTGTTAAGGTCACACACACATCGATGTGGTTTAAGCCACAGTATGACTTACTGTGAACTCTAAACATTAGCAAAACTTCACCATGTAGCTGAAAGCACTGGCAAGCCATTGTAAACAAAAGGTTTTGAGCATGTGTTTATGGAAAAGATGTGGGCGACTACTTACCTCTAGTCTTTGTTAGCAATGTTAGCCTCATAGCTCTAGTGCTGAACTTATGAAGCAAAATTTGGAAACCAAACATGCAAAACATAATACTAAATAAAACTACATTCTTTTAAAACAGTGGCCTCCAGAAGGCCATATGGGCTGAATGGAATCCAGTACAATAAAGACACTGCTGTTTTTTGTTTGATGGCTCAGGAAGGTTCAGAGCAAGCTTTTAACTGCCTGCTCCAAGGCTGTCTTGAGCAGTTAATGTATGTGATTGGTATATTGTCAGTTAATATATTGACTGTTACCATTGGGCTTTCTGTGGCCTCTTCTCACTTCACGCATCATTCCGCCTGTATGACTTTTTTTTATTGTGCAACAAAACAATAGCAACCAAATCACCCCTAGCACTTCCTGTAGCTTATTTTAATCTGTAAGAATGACCGTGTATATAAAATGAACATTATAAAGCGTTACAGAGTGCCTTTCTTCTTCCATAATCAGCATCAATGATAATCAATCAACTTGTAGGCCTTACAAAGCCCTTACGATAATGTACGTTTAGACAGACGCTTATCATCTGCAGAATAATTATTTTAATAAATGTTGTCGTTTCATTGCAAATTTGTTTTCGAAATACCATACATGAACATTATATAGCCCATTTTATATGTGATATCCAGTGGTCTTACACATTTGTTTGGAAAATATTACCTGGCGCACTGGCACCCTTCTTCTGGACAAGAGTTTCTTTGTTTTAGTTGCATATTCTCCAGCAGTCTTTGCCAGACTGAAAATCCATGTTATGCTTTGTACAAGTGGTGCTTAAAGTATGTACATGTGTAGTTCATTAACTAGTGATGTTTTGTTTTATTGCCTATAATTAAGTGAAGTATTTTCTTATGTGCACATTTTTTAATGAACCATTGACAAGAGCGACTGTACAAAGTTTGATAAAGGTGCATCAGTAAAAGAATATCTCATGGCACATTAAAGAGAATAAAATAATGATGGGCACTGTTTAATTTATTGCAATATTTGATATCAGTTATTGTCCCGGAGCTATTTGTCGACTAATCGTGGCAGGTCTCATGACTGATCATGATTCCATTGTTTGTGTTGCAGCGAGGCACGGCCGTGTTGCTGGAGCATTTAGCCGGGAGCCTGGCTAGTGCCATCACTGTGAGCACGCAGCTGGACATCGCGCCGCAGCATCACCTCTCCATGATGGGCCGCAACGGCAGCAACATCAAGCACATCATGCAGCGCACTGGCGCTCAGGTGCATTTCCCCTGACCCAAACTGCCCCCAGAAAAAGTCCACTGTCTATATCCAGGGCTCCATCGACTCAGTCTGCCTCGCCCGCCAGTACCTCATGGTAAGCAGGTTTCCCTTATTTTTATCTTTGCTCTTCAGTCATTTGTTCTTTTTTGTCTTTTTCTTTCTGTTCTACTTCTCTAACTTTCACTCAGTTTCTCTCTCTCTCTCTCTCTCTCCTTGTGTGCATGTGTGTCTTGCATTCCTCCCTCAAGCCATAATAGGGAACAGCAACTCAGCAGTGGCTCTCTTTTGGCATGGTGGTCTTCTTTAAATCTCTGGCCCCTCTGGCACCTCAGGGAGATAAAAAATCGAGAAGATGACTTGTGTGGGTGGACAAAGAGAACAGGAGTGGGGGGGTGGAAGCAGAAAAGAAATAGCATAAACACGGGATCCTCGTTTGGGAACTCACGAGGGGAGAATGCAACATTCTGTTGAAAAACATAGTAATTACAATGCGGAGATGTTTCGCCTCTCCACAGCTATGCAGCTCTACAAGAGAGACGAGAGGCAGGCCACTCACAGCCAAGCAGACTGACCACTACACCGCAAGGGCAAGAGAGCAATCGTACACATGAACAGAAAATTAAACACGTTTAGCCAGCCGCCCAGAATAATTCACTGTCAGGTTTCCATTTAGATCTGTTTAGGAGGTTTTCAGGCATAGTTGTGAGTGTCTGAGGCTCATCATGGGCAGGAACTGAAAGGTTCTAGAAAGTTGGCGTAGAAGGCCACAATATGCAACCCTCCAACCAATCATGATTTTTTTTTTTTTACTGTGTGCTGCATCTTAACCAATCACAGTTCCAGTTTTTGTGAATGTTTTGAGCAATAAATATATTAATGTAATCCAACAAAAGTAAATTAAAATCTGAAAAATATACATTTAAATGCTTTTTTTTGCCTTAAAGCGTCCTGCGTGCAATTGTCCGCCATGTGTCATGTAAAATACATTTTAGCCTAAAACCTTCTCAGAACTGTCATAAAACAATGTCTCAGGCAACAAGCAGTGTATTCATAACCATTTCATGTAATACGTTTCTGTGAGGGAGTCTTTAAACTCTTTAGACATCTGGTTCTTATCAGCACCACTGTGAACAACTCTGAGTCTGTAAGTTTCTCTAGAATGGAGCATTTCACATCAAACCAAAGGTACTTTATTTGCATCATAATGATGTACTTATGGAGAGATTTAGAAATTTGTGGAATTCCCCTTCAGTTTATTTATGTTCATATATGTCATGATCATATCGTTATTGTCTGAATAGAGGAAAATAGCCACTCCTGAGCTGTGAAGGCAGAGTGCATGTCAAGGACTGTTCTTGTGCAGGGTTTCTCCAGGCCGTACCTGCTGCTGTTATTCTTTTCAACATGAGAACGAGTGGACGGATCACAGTACAATAACTGTGGCTTTGCTGCTTTAGGATATCAGCCAAGTAGACATTTGAGGCACTTAAAGTTGGAGTAACTGAATGATTTAAACCTGTGCAGAAACCTACTCATTTTCCCTCTCTTACACCTCTGTTTCTGTCTGGCTCTACTGTGTGTGTCTGTGCGTGTGGTACAGGGCTGTCTGCCGCTGGTGCTGATGTTCGATATCAAAGAGGACGTGGCAGTAGATCCACAGTGTATCACATCTCTCATGGAGCAGCTGGACGTGTTTATCAGCGTCAAACCCAAGCCCAAACAGCCTAGCAAGGTACAGTTATTTTGAGGCTGAAAAAATCTTAATAACTTAAATAAAGGTATTTTGACTGAAACTGAAATAAATGAAGGGCAGTCTCTGACTTTTGCATTGTACCATATATCTGTATGTGTAGATATGTAAAACAAGTTTTAAGCAGCCAAACCCTAAATCTAGCCATAAACTTAATAAACCTTAATGCAAAAGTAACTTTTGTAAAGAAAAAACACTTAAGTCCATTTTGTTGGTGTAAATATTTGCCCAGTTGTCTGCTACTTTTCCTAGAAAGCCAAGAGTTTTTTGTCCTGAAAATGTAGGAAAACAAACACACACTCCCCACTCAAATCACCCAAATCGGCAGTAATTGCTGTACAAAGTTATACCAGCTAACTACAACTTATAAATCACATCTGTGAGGTGCATAAGGTATTGGCTGCGTCTCAAGGTGTCAGACTAGTCTAACAAATGCACTGTATGGCACACATCAAAATTTGTGTGCGGTTTATAGTAGAGGATATGTGAACTGGAAAAGCTTTCACGGTATTCATTTTCTTGTCCTTGCTCACAGTCAAAGGGGGAAACAGGATCCAGTGTTTTTAGCTAAATGGCACCAGTCTAATCTAACAGACAGAGCATAAATCTTCATTTCTTCATTTCAGCAACTGATCTGGTGATAGCCCAGTTTGAATTGCCCTTTCATTTTCTTAAAGGCAACAGTTCAAAAAAATTGCTAGGCAAAGACCAGACTTATTTTTTATGTCAGTGGTTCATGAGACCAAGGGCACACCTAGACGATCTTCCTCTGCCTGTTTCTTTCTACTTATTTAAGCTGTTGATTGTCAAAGATCCAATAATATTCTACCACTTAAAATTTTATGTGTATAGCCAACTAACAGTAGTAATGAAATTCACTTATTACCTCCTGTCCCCTTTAGTGTCACTTGTGTAGTCTTCATCCATTACTTTAGAAGGCTTGTGACGACGTTTGATTCGGCCCACCAGAAAGTTACCAAGCAGAAAAACATATTTTTATACTATATAAATCTTGAAATTCTTATTCTCCTTTTAAAATTGTATTTTTTAAGTATTTAGAAACTGTATAATGTGATGTTAAATATATTTTTAAAAACTTGATTTGAAACACTCTTTTATTTGTGCATTGTTGGTCCTTTTTGCCCTTAGCCAACCACAAACATTGCACTTTGGCCCTTAAGACAAAATGTTTGGGCACCTCTGGTGTAGATTAAGCAGTAGAACATGAGTAAGTGTATAATCATGGCTGTGATTTGGTTCTAGTAGATCATCACAGTCATGTGTCCTTGAGTGCCCAGTTGTTTTTATACAGTAGTTTTACAAAATAAAACAATAAAGGTATTAAGCCAAACGTTGTTTTAAATATATGTTTTTAAAGGGACAGTTTCTTCTGTCAAAAAGTAGTTCTAGCAGCTGGGAGTAAAGCGACAATTATTACTTAGCAACCAGTGGTCAGTAGAATAACACAGGTATGGTGAAAAATCCATACTGTTATAAGATTTAACAACACAGGTAGAATGTTTTTCAGTCAGTCAGACTATGTGGTTGGAGCAAACTGTTGTATAAATCTCTCTTTCTGTCTCTCTCTCTTTTTCATCCAGTCTGTGATAGTAAAGAGTGTGGAAAGGAATGCTCTGAACATGTATGAAGCCAGACGGTATCTCTTAGGTTTGGACAGCAGTGGGGTGTCTGTTTCCACCTCCTCCAGCAGCAGTAGCAGCAGTAGCAGCCCTTCGGCTGCCCCCACACCAGTCAGCTGCCCCGTGGGGCTTGATATCCTTACTTCAGCCGGCCTGGGCCTCACTAGCCTGGGTAAGAGAGGCACATGCTCCTCATTTAGCATCTTGACCTGTACTCTCATTCAGTGCTCTTCTTTATGTGCATTTTACATATGCATTCTTAGAGTAAGAGCATTTCTTTATTCATTTAAACAGCCTGATTGAAACGAAGCTCGTCCATCAGTGTGGTGATAGTCTAAATGCTGCATGCTTGTATTTTGTCCTCAGTGACTGAGGACATACTGCATGGTTCATGATTCTTATGTAAATCTGTCCTGTAGGTCTTTTGGGGCCCACAGCTGCCTCTCTGAGTGCTCCGTCCACCCCCAACTCTCTTCTGAATGCCCTCAACAGCTCCATCAGTCCCCTACACGCTCCTTCTTCTGGAACCCCCAGCCCTACGCTTTGGTCAAACTCACTGGCCAGTCCAACCAGCACACCAGGTCAGAGGACAACACACACACACACCATTTTCCCACATTTTAGAATGGTGCCATCTCAACTTTGTTGTCTGTTAGGGTTATAAATATACATCTCTGCTCATATGTAAAAGTTTGGGCACTGCTGGTCAAATTGTGAAAAATAACACATCCTCTAGAGAGAATGCACTTCTGCACATTTTAATGCACAATTAATGATTATCTGCTGAGTTTTAATTATAATTTTAATTTATAATTTTTTTATATAAATTTATTTTTTATTAGGAAAAAAATAAAACATCAAAGTGGCCTGTGCAGAAGTCATTGCACATTGTCTGTTTTTATTTTTTCCAATATGTTAAACACATCAAATAAATATCAGTTGTGCACTAAAATTTGCAGAAAATGGCATATTTAAGTTTGTTCACTGTAGAAGATGTGGTGTTAACTTATTTTCACTTCAACAAAACTTGTAATTTGACAGGGGTGTTCAAACTGAAATACATCTATTTGAAGCTGGTGATTCAACAAATATATATGCTGTGAAATAGAGTCAGTCTGGGTAATTTTATAAGAATAAGGTAAGAATTGTATCAATATAATCAAAACTTAATTGGATCACAGTGAACATTAGAGATTTCATAATCATCATCACATCATAATCATGGATTATAATCAATTTGATTCAAATTCAGAAATGTACATCTCTGATATCTGTCATATGAACCTACTGTATGTTTATACACTCATATGCTAAAAATCATTAATGAGTTCTTGCACTGAATCCTGCAGGTTTTTCATCACCATTGATGATCCATCCAGCCACCCAGGCCACATTAACCAACATCCTGTTGTCTGGGGTCCAGAGTTACACCCACAATACACCATCTCCTCCCCCAGGCCTTGCCCCCATTGACCCGCAGGTGAATGGGGTCCCAGACTGCAGCAAGACTGTGTCTTCCCTCAATGGCAAGGTGATTCACTGTACTGCATATCATGATGTGTTCTCAAACTATATTAAAAATATGAATTATGGCTGCCACAAACTATTACTTCTGTAATCAGTTAATCTATCAACTTTGTTTTTCTTCAATTAATCTAGCAATTATGTTCATTATGCTCAGTGAGAAATAAATGTAAATAATCTTATATAAAAACCTAAATTTGAAAATTCATCAGTCCAAATATTAAAGGCACAGCACATGATTCTGGAGAACAATTGTTGATATTTGAATTTAGCAGCAAAATAAATACTTTAGTGCTCACTCAGTAGCTCCACCCTCCAAATTCATGGACTCGCGTTGGCAAGGCGTATGACACTGGGCTGGCTAACTTAACAAATACCATGATATATTATACAACAGTTAGTTCCGCCCATGCAAGCTGATTGGTTAAGAAGCGTTCTAACCGTGCTGTTATTTCGCCATAACATCACGGGTTTTTCACAAACACTGTATCACTCTGCTGAGGCGCTGTTGCTAAGCAACAACTTTGACATCTGTAGGAGATGCTCAAGCCATTTGAACGTTTTTACTTCTTACTTTGCGCACAAACAGAAAATGGATACTTTTAAGATCACATTTGACCAACAGCTAATTTGGTCAGACTCTGAAGATGAGACTACACTAAATTCCGAAACTGTCAGTTGGTCTGTGTGGAGCTGGAGAACGAACTGCCGACTGTGCATAGAGTGAGCGGAGCTCGTTACTCTGACGTAGTAACAAGCTGGTTGGTTATAATTTGGCGGAAGGAATTGCCAATATTTAAACATATATTAAACGACACGTTCATGGCCCAATTTATTTATTTCTTACTTTGTTTATTTAACTGTTGTATAAAAGCAATAGAACACGAGAGGGAGTGTGTTATCGCTATAACATCAATATTATTTCGCAATAACACACTCCCTCTCATGTTCTGTAGCTTAAATATACATGTTGCTACAATTGCTGCTGCAAAGCTAACCAGTTGCTATCACAAACATTAGCAAGCAGGACAAAACAATGCTGACCTATTTGTTCTGTGAAACAGCAAAAAAAAGTTAATGTAACCCACCTGTCAAGCAGGAAGCAACCTCCTCATCCCTTTTCATGCCTTTCAATTTTCGATAAAGCTGAAGTCTGCTTCTTTTTTGCCAGCTTCTTGTTTGAATTTTCACATTGCACTTTAAACGGTGCAGAAGTTGCATTCCGGTGCCTCAGCTTCTTGTTGGAAGTTCCTGTTCTACATCAAATGGTGCATTTCAGGTGCTTCAGGTGCCAGAATGGAACTGCTGCAATACTTCAAGTGGAAAAAGAAAATCTGAATAGGAAGTCAACCCTCTGAGGTCTTTCCACCTCCGAAATGCCCTTGCCTTATCTAAGAACTTCTTTCTCAACCTTTGTTTTTTTTTATTTTTTCCTCTTTGGCGGTTTCTCGACAATGCGTGGAGTTTAGCACATGGCCCCTCCCCTTCCTCCGTCCTGCACACGAGCATGAAAGCCCCGGGTTGAAGGAATATTGGCTGGAACAGTGTTGTGTAACTCGTCCCGAACCACTTTGTTTATTTCCCATTTACAGAGCCAGGGCTGTGTACGAACACAGGATTTTTTCTAGCCCGCACACAGAATGGTGCGGGCTAGAAATGAACCGTGAGGAATTTAACACTTAAATTCTGCTGAATTTAACAAAAAGTGTTTTGGAATGAAATCGCTGCACCTTTAAATTGGTTTACTTTACTGTTGTTACATTTATTTCTCAGGTGAAATTCTTGTTGTACTATAGAATCACAAAAACACCTATTATCAGATAGCAATAGGCTTTTGTTCTTTTCGCTAAATCAAAAAATTTATGAATACAAGAAATTATGAAGGTCCTTTTAATTGTTTGTTGAAGTGTCCAAACAGTTAATAAAATACATAGAAAAACCTTTAAAAAACTTTAAATTACTCATTTGTCATTTGCTGTTTCTGTTTTTCAAATTATTACCTTTCCTATTTCCTCAATTCTAGCACATGCTTAATCATCTATCTATTTCCCATTGCTTATGATTCTGAATGGGCCTTGTCTGCCTATTTGGTATCTGACACATCATTGGCATTTGGAATTTTATGACTGCATGTCTTACAAATTTTAATTGTTTATGTACAGCACCCTAAAGCAGTTTTAGCCTCATCCTATTTTTACCCTCTATAGGACGACTGGAATGGTGTTAGCTTTACCGTTTCATCACTGGATTGCCACCTCAGTATGGCATTAATTTTACTACACTGTACTTAACGTCACTGAAATTTTTCTCTCTCCCTTGAGACATTTTGTTTTCCAGTATGTAGACTACTACAGTAAGGTACTTTTGAAGCACTCGGTGAGGGCAGAAAACGTGTTGGAACTCAAGTGTTCATCATTGTCATGCTGCTGTGACCCTCTACCTCTGCTTTTGTATTTAGGTTAAATTCTGCACTATTGACCAGAACTGTGTATATGTCTGTGCTTGTGTATCTGTGTGTATGTGTAGCATCCCAGCTCCATGTACAGCAGAATGTCTACCGTCTCTTTGGCCGAGAAGGTTCTGAACGCGGCTCATGGTGATGCCGTCCAGGAGGCCAGCGCCCACTGTCCATCCGAACCGCTGTCCAGCAAGTCCAGCCAGGATCAAGGTACTGCCTCTCATGCTGGAGTAAATTCCTACAGACCCAGTTTGTGCTGAATTGGTGTAGGTCAGTGTCACAAACCTGTAATTCATTTTAAAGATAAGATTCTGCAAAAAGGAATCTCTGTAGCTAGCATGCCAGTTATTGATACTGCATTGACAAAAACCCTCAAAACAACCACACTAAAGGCCCCGGAATGTTCACTGTACTCTTGGTTAGTGAACTATGTCTCGATGCTATTCCTGAAGTAGCTACAGTTCTGTTGGTTCATGCCCCTAGTGGCATTCAGGGCCAAGTTTTATGATTTGGCTGATTGGCAATAACCCCCTGACCTTCTCTAGATTGAACATGGACTTTATTGACTTTGGCCAGTTCATTTATGGATTAATGCATACTTGGTTCCAAATGGTTAAACCATTCCATCCTGTGTTGCTGGGAAAAGTGGGCCAAGCTTTTCCATCCTCCTCCATTGTAAGCATCAAGAGTTGTTTGAATTGGCTGGACTTCCATAAGTCAGGAGATGTGCATGGTTTTTAGTTCCTCACTTAGTGCAATTAAATTGGAGTTTTTTGATTTTTTTTTTCTCTCGTGAGCAGTGAAGCCATAATGAAGGCAGTTGACCCTAAATTCCATCATGCCAAGAGCAGTCAAGCTATATAATGTTTAACCAAAGATGTATAACTTTTGGCTCACAGAAAGGATAATGTGTATCTGTGTGTGCCTGTGTGTATGCCAGGCTCTGATACGTTTGTGGAGGTGGGGATGCCGCGTAGCCCCTCTCACTCTGGGAATAGCAGTGAACTGAAGCAGATGCTGGCCTCCTGCAAAACAGCCTCAGGCAAGAGGCAGGCTGTGGAGTTACTACAGGGCACGAAAAACTCTCATCTACAGTACGTACACAAGCACACCAGAGATTAGAAACAATATATAGAACACAAACCAAAACCAAAACAAACTATATTTATCACGGTATGTAAAATGAAAACTTCTTAAAGTTTTAAAATGTGGTTAAGGTGAATAATGTTACTATTTCATTACAGTTGAATTTCTTAGAACTAGGGATTAGAAATAAGTCTGTTGCCTGTTCAACTTAGACAGGGTGCCTTCAGTAAAACCTTCACAAAACATAACAAACACTACCACAGTTAACTAATAGTACTACAGCAGCAACAACTTTGTATGTTAACCACGTGAACATGAAAGCACATCGTCTATGAACAACAGCCAGTCACATGAAACTTGAGGAGTTAGGCAGCTTATTTTTCAAAGAATGAATAAGAAACCACATGTAAATATGTAGGAAGTGAAACATTTACAAAGATAAAAAACGCTGTCACCACTGGTGTCATGGTAGTGCTTGTTGGAGTAATAATTGCTTTATAATCTTGATATCTATGTAGTTTGAATCTAAGTGATTATTTTCATGTCATTATCACCACAAACATGAAAAGGTAAAAAAGAAGGTCACAAAGACATGTCACAGAAAAATTATGAACCTCTCGGGGATGCAAAAACTGACCTCTATCAGAAGACTGTCCCTGATTGGTCCAAAAATCCAGAGTTTGTGACACAGGCATTACGCGACAGGAATTACGCGATACAGGGAACCAAAAACAAACAGTATTTTTCGCAGAGCATTTTATAATGCGGTGAAGTTGGTTGATAATGTTATTTTTTCATTCCATTTGAATTTTTTAGAATCTGGCATTGGAAACAAAACACCTACAATATGTACCAGCACACCTGGAACCTGGTGTCACAAAGCATGTGTAACTTTCAGTTCACAAAATCTTAACAAAGGCAACCATGTTTAGCTTCTTTTACGACAGTGGTTAACAACTTTCTCTGTGAATCAGGTGTAAATACTCAAGCTGTGATTTATCCTTGTGCACATGAAAGCGTGACATTTCACAGCCAATTACGTAACACTATGTAAATATCTGAAAAATAAAGCATTTAAAACGGTAAAAAGCAGTGCTGTCTGTACTGTTAGCATGTTAGTTCTTTATGGAGCAATACTCGCTTTATATTCTTTGTAGTGTGATGACTACTGAAAAGTGATATTTTTCTCCTGATTGACACTGAAAACATCACAAAGAAGAAAAAAAGTGACATGCAAAGGCCTGGAGGGGTCCATCTCCATCAGAATGCTGTACCTGATTGTCGGAAGCTCTGCCCTGACTGGTACAAGAGCTGTTTATGATGCGAAGTCTTGAGCTTAACCTGCCACAGAGCTGGTTCGGAGTGCATCATAACTTGCCATGTAATGTAGTCTGGTATTAAGTGACCCACAGACAGAAAATCCAAGGTTAAATGTAACTAAGCATAAAAATTAGCTAGCTAAGCAAGAAATCTTGCTTCGTGAGACAGACCCCATTGATTAGGAATGACACTTGGAATGAAAACCAAAACCAAGAACAAACAGCATTTTTCACTGAGCATTTTGAAATGTGATCAACTGGTTAGTAAAATTATTATTTTATTTTGGTTAACAAAACAGTTTTCATTTCATTGTATGTTCTGAACATTTTCAGTTGGTCAGCGGTTAGAATGGCTTAAAAGAATTGTTGATAGTGTTCTTTTAATACTCAAACTGTGTAGGCCTGTTAAAATAATAAGTAACAAATAATCTGTCAGTGTTGCAAAAAATTCAATAAACGTTTAACCAGAATGAAATAATAATGTTTTTAACTGCATTTCAAGTTTCTGACTCTGAAAGTTGAAAGTGATTTTGTTCCTGTTTTTAAATACTAAAAATCAATCGTTTTCGTTGCCTGTTGACCGTTCCAAATCCCTGACGCAAACACTGACACACCATCTGCAGTGAACTCAAACTCACACAACAATCTCTCTTCAGAGGCAAAAAGAGCTAAAAACATCCATTGCAGACCGTTTCAGGTCAAAAATACTGCAGTGCACACAAATGCATAACATTCTGTTCACCATCCACCATACCCTCTTCTGTGTGTGTGGCTGGGGGTGGCGTAGTGCATGTTGTTAGTGGTGAGGTGATGTGGAAAAGCACTGACAGACGGTTGGCTCTGGAAATAGCCATGACAGCATCTGCTGTATGTCCCAGCAGGTCACACAGCATTTTCTCTCTCTCTCTCTCTCTCTCCTCTCTCTCTCTCTCTCTTTCTCTCTCTCTCTCTCTCTCTCTCTCTCTTTCTCTCTCTCTCTCTCTCTCTCTCTCTCAGCACTCTCAGAAGCAGTTTGAAAGGGCAAATGGCTGACGTGTAATTGTTCCTTTCCAAACAGCTTGCCTAGCTTACAGCGTAAATCACTCTGAAAGGCGGTTCTTCAGCCTTGAGTCTGCTATAACAGGCAGAGCAGGAAAATTGCCTTGTCTTGAGGGAATGTTCTTTAGTACTGGACTAAAATGGCCTTCAGTGACTGTTGGACCTCTTTGTTCTTCTAAAGGAGATGATACTGTGGTTGTGAGAGCATATGCAATCAAAGTTACCCCTAAACTGCAGGATTATTGTTAATCTTAAACTACTAAAGATGGCAACTTCTAAAGTGGTAACTACCACACTCTATGTACTATTCATCCCACGTTCCATGCAGTCCGTATATGAAAATAAAGCTGCAAAAAGTCTGTTTATTTACGCGTTTTATGATGACAAAAACCAATGCATTTACATACAGTATATCCACAGATTCAGCTTTTACCAGTTTAGCCCCGCCCACTCATGCTGAAGTTGTAAGGAGTGTTTCAGCCTGAACTGCTATTTTTTGTAAGGCACAATACAGCCTATCAGAACAGGGATAAAATACATACATTAGTCTTAAAGGCACAGTGACAAAAACAGCCTGTTTAATTCTAAGGGATAAACCAAGATTGGAAAACAGGTATGTTAAAATTAATTATGACTGTACATAAACCCATATACACATCATAAGTGGACCTCAGGAGCATAAATAAAATACATGAAAATGTGGAATATGAACCATTTAAGGTTTTAATTGTTAATTGAACTATTTTTCAAAAATAAAAAACATTGAAAGGTTGTCACAGTTAAATACTCAAATGTTAATTGCATAATACCAGTATTTCTTTTTTATTCTCTCTTTCTCTCACTCTGTCTCTCTCTCTGTCTATCTCCAGCTCAGATTGCTTACTCTCAGACTCTGACTCCAGTGCATCTGAGAGTCCTGTAGCTGATAAGCGAGCTCCGGGCAGCGAAAGAGCGGCCGAGCGAGCGGCCCAGCAGAACTCGGAGCGAATCCGTCTCCCTCCACAGTCCACCTTCTCCAACATGCAGGTACTGCACCTCCTGCCTCTCATAAAACCCCTCCCGGTTCCCTCACTCTCCTTTATGCTTCACAGCCTGGCCAGAGCAGGCAGTGCATTGGCTTCTTTTGAAGCAGCAGGCTTCAGGAAATGGGCTGAGGAACTGGTTCACACACTGGAACTTCAAATCGTTTCCTGTGAGCCATTCTGCTTTGGTTTCTTTGGAGCTGAATGTTGTTTGACCTTGCGCTTGTTGCTGCTGGTTACTGAGAAGCTGTTTTTGTTGTGCAGCATCACGTGTTAAAAACATGGCTTCCCCATGACCTCCACTCTCTTGAGACTTTATGAGTCTGCCTTTCTTTCTTTGTTTTTTTTTTTTTTCTCCAGAACTGGTGGAAAGTGAACTTGTCCACGAGTGTAAAGTAAACTCCTGTGACAGAATGAGGCAATGTTTAGCTTGTTCCGTTGCTGTTCTGTGAAGCAAACTGACAGGCGATATGTAGGGCAGCCTTCTTCTACTTTTTTTCCACTAACCACCCTAAACACTCTTTGATTCTCTCTCTCTTCCTCTCCAGGCCTTCGACTATGAGCAGAAGAAGTTGCTGGCAACCAAAGGTATGTGGTGCACCAGTTGAATCCCCATTAAAGGTTCTGTGTCCTGCCTATGTACTTTACCATCCACAATAAAGTGTTCTATTCATTACCAACATAACAAACAGCTCCGCTAGTAACAAAGTAAAGCAACCTGATATGTTTAGTCTAGAGTGCCAGCTCACGATGGAACAGAGCTACCACATCTCTAGAGTAGAAGATCTGGCTGAGTTTAACATATCATTACAGCCTTGGTTCACATTTACAATAAACACTCTAATAACTCTCTCCATTCCATGTGAAGCACGTCAAACAGTAAACTGTGGGCTTGTAAATAGAAGAATGTACTCAGCGTATACCACTGCTTTGTTAGCACATTTGTTTTATTCATCTATGTAAAGAAAACTCAATAGACTTCATAGTATAAAGTTACCACCACTGGTTAATTTGTTTATCCTTTTGGTTGATGTTTAGCAATTCTGGATTTACAGCAGTGAGTAAGCTAGTCTGAGGTTGAGATGTTGTATTTGTAATGTGTTTTGCTTGTTTTCAGCCATGCTGAAGAAGCCAGTGGTGACAGAAGTGCGCACTCCTACAAACACGTGGAGCGGCCTGGGCTTCTCCAAGTCCATGCCTGCAGAAACCATTAAGGAGCTGCGGAGGGCTAATCACGTGTCCTACAAACCCACCATGTCTACTACCTACGAGGTAAGCCCATGCATCACGAGAACTTTCTGCTGGAGTTGCAAATGCAGTGTCGGGGCAGGTCTCTTGCATATCTTAACGGTGTAGTTGGTGAAGGAAAACAGAATTTGAGTGGACCTTTTTGATCTCAGGTTAGTTAGTTTATCAAGTTAGTTTACTGCTTGTAAAAAGGTGAAGACACTTTGACTTCTTTTGAAAACATACCGGCAAAGGTTTTAACAGCTGTGTACTTATCATTTTGGTATATTTTGCAACACTCAGCTTCATGTTAATCAAAAAGCACATACTGAAAATCTTTTGGCACAAAGGTGATTTAAACGTCTGAAAGGTTTAAGCTGTGATGACTTCTGTCAGTCATTCCTTCAGTTTGGCAGTTTTTGCAGAGGAAAATCGCAAGATCTAAGTAGTTTTCTCAGTTGCTCCAAACCAAAAAGGGAAACATGCTCATTTGTTGTAAAAATATTTTGAAAAGCTAGGTATCCCTAAAGTTTTGATGGCCAGTATGTAGCTTGCAGCTAGAGTAGGCTGTAGTGATACATAATGACTTAGCAGTTGTTCCTTCAGTTTTGCAATGTTTGCAGAAAAATGGTAAAATCTATACAGTTTTCTATTTATTATGTTAAGTTGTGAAAAAAAGCATGCTCATTTGCATTAAAACCATTTTGAAAAGCTGGATGCCTCCAGTCCTTTGAAGGCTTGCAGCTACAATGGGCTGTGGTAATGATGACTAGTCAGTTCTGCAGTTTTTGCAGAGAAACATGTCAAGATCTAATCTTTAATATGTTGTTATTGCAAACCAACAGATATGCTCATTGTTTAAAAACATTTTGAAAAACTAGGTGTCCTCAGAGTTTTGATTGGCAGTGTGTCGCATCCAGCTTTAGTGGGCATGGAGTGATGGAGATGTGTGTTGTTGCAGGGGTCACCGCTGTCACTCTCCCGCTCCAACAGCAGAGAGGGTGTGGGGAATGGCAGCGACTCAGACAACTGGAGAGAGCGGAACGGGAGCGGGCTCCCGGCACACAGCGACTTCCCAACACCCATCAGCCCCAAGAGGAAGCAGAACAAGACAGGCAAGTTGACTTTGAACACTACAGAGACTCACTATCACAACCTGTTCCAACTTTGTGGTTTTAGATGCAAAGCACCCATGGAACTGATTTGCTTATTCACTCACATGCTCACTCAGTTATGTTTAGCAAGCTGAAAATTCATCAGATGCTCGTTCTATGCTAACTTCTATGCCTAACTATGCTACTATGCTCAAAAGACCAAGATAACTTTTCTTCAGTTAGCCATGTTAGCAGGTTTTGGTGAAGTAGGCCTGTTCTTTTAACAGTTGTTGATTCTCTCTTGCAGTGGAGCATTACTTGAGCAGCAGCAACTACATGGACTGCATCTCCTCAGTGACGGGGAGTAACGGCTGTAACCTCAGCACCTCCCTGAAAGGCTCAGACCTGCCGGAGCTCTTCAGCAAGCTGGGCCTGGGGAAGTACACTGATGTCTTCCAGCAACAGGAGGTAATGATCTTTCTAGGAGGAGGATGAACATGAGTGTAATAAGGCAGGGGTTCCCAAACCCAGTCCTGACAACCCTTTGCTCTGCATATTTTACTCTACACACATGACCCAGACAGTGAGAATCTTTTCGAATAAATGTTGACATAACAGGTATGAAAGCCTAAGGTAATAAAGGTTTGAATTCCTCCATGGTATGCACCACGCATGGTGACTGAGACTTGTCTTTTATTGTACATCGCAAGTGCTTCACATCATCTGCAGGATTTTGCCAATTACAGTTGATTAAACACAGATTAAAATGCATTTTCTTCTAGCAACTTTTCAGACATTCACTTAAAATTAGCTAAATATTAAAGTGGAAACACTGAATTCAATCTTCAGAGGGTTCCAGTGAGCAGCACTGTTCTCTTTATGAAAATGCATGATGCTGCCTTAGAGTCCGTAGTTCCCCACCCCTGCAATCATTTTTAACAAATGGAGTGGTAAAGCAGTAATCTTTGCCTACAGACTTCACAGTCCAGTCCTTAAGAATTCCCAGCCCTTCCATGTTTTTGTTTTAATCCAGTTTTTGTCATTCCCATCACATAGTATCCATATAATTAAACACTGCACAAAGCTTTTCTTGCTAGCTGGAATACAGTGAAAACATGGACTGTCTTAAAGACTGCACTGGAAAAATCTCAGGCCTAAGATACCAGAGGAAATTTAAGGAAGAGGTAGATAATATGGCAAAAATATAACATCATGAAACCTGAAGACTTTTACACGATACACAATATATATCACAATAATTAAATTTTTCTGGGGTTTGATTGGAACATACAATTCAGCATTTACTGACACTTATACAGCTATTCCACTTGGGAGAATGAGAAAAATCTCTCTTTAATGGAGCCTACAGTTGATCAATGTTCTTGTAGTACTGGTATTACCTACAGTATGTTCATGATCTGTTTTATTGTGATAAGGATATCGTCTGTTCCCTGTTTAAGCTGCAGTGCACTTCAGACAAGAGCCCTTTTCCTAGCTCATAGTCACAGTTGTCAGCTCCCATTGGTCACAGAGCCACTAGCAGCCGTTCTGTCTGTCTCACAGATTGACCTGCAGACATTCCTTACCCTCACCGATCAGGACCTGAAGGAGCTGGGCATCACCACGTTTGGAGCACGTCGAAAAATGCTGCTGGCCATCTCAGGTGCGCCCTGTTACATATTTCCACTCATACCATGATAATAACAAAAAGACAACCAGATGTTCTTAGAGCAGCCTGCCATGCCTTTAATAATGCTTTTAATAATTGCCGTACCATTTGGAATGTGGGGATTAATGATTAAGCCTGATTGAGCTGTCAGTGTTAAATTAGAGTCAGCTGCCAGCACTCATGGCAGGTTCCACACGACTGACAGTCCATATCCCGGCAGCATAGCGAGTGAATGTGACATGATTGGGTCTGTTTCCCTGGTTGTGTTTGGCCCTGAATGCCGTCTTTTGTGCAGTTCAAAAGTTGCACCAAGCATTGCAATAGGACTTGTGAGGAGTTGCCGTGAAATATTGGCCACCCACCATCAAATAACAATAATGGTTTCCCCTCCAGTCTGGCCAGGGTGTTTTCTCCAAATGACGATGGTCCTCTTGGGGATTAAACACGCAGAGTCTGGAAGTGAGGGTAGCTTTACGTCTCCCTTTTTTCACTGTTAATGTTGGTTATATTTGTGAAAAACCGGCGTGTTTGTGAATTCCAGGGCGCGGGAGGACAAGGCCGATTTGTTCTGAGGACAGGAAACGACTGTGGGCCGGTGTTTATTTCGCTCGCTGAACTCAAGGGCCAAACGCAAATCTAGTGTAATCTGGGCTGATGGAATCTTGAGCTGCGAGAGGAGTGTCCTGCTTCACTTCTTGTGTCCTTTAAAAAAAAAAAAGATACATTCCATGAGCTCTGGCGCTGTCAAGCCCATCTACCCGTAAACGCTCTCACCAGTAAAAAAACACGCACAGAGAGGAATCTTTTATTATTCTGTAGCAGTTAAAGGAAAATAACAATCAAAATGCTACTTGGCAGAACAGTGCTTTAGGGTTTCTTGTGGTGTCAAATTTAACATACAGTTAGGTTCAGATGTTAGGAATAACAGTTCAAAAGTTTTTTGTCAATGTTTTCAATAATATGAAACCAATTTGGTTCCAGATACGTGTATAGAATGGTTCTAGCATGCAAGTCCTTTGCAGATCTACACTTTACAAGCTAGAATAAGCAAGTAATGAATGAATTTAGAATGATGAACTGAGGTGTAGATGATTTTGAAATGACTGAGAAAGCTGTATCAAGAATGAAGTTAGAATAGCATAAATGTCCAGAATGTCTCTTATTTCAAAAGCAGTGATCAAATTAAAGGCATATAACTTAACACAAACAGTACTGTACAGTATATTGTTTGTCAAATACCTTGTTTTCCCCAAAATGTTTGACATATATTGAATGAAACATAGAAACATGTTACTCAATTTAATTTAATTCAGCATATATTTATGTTTAAAAATAAAACAATAAAAAATACAATAGTGAATATGAAATCGGAAAAGAAATTAACCAATAGATTGACCAATGATAACCGATGACTACTGTTAGAAGCCTGTCAGAGCAACAAGTAAGCAACAGATGCATGAAGACCACTGACTACTATTAGAAATGTATCACCCTGAAAATGAGAATTTAATCTGGTTATGGTGTGTAGTTCAGAATATAGTAGTCTTTTAGTTTAATTGCTAAGAAGCATTTTTACATTCAGTGAACACAGTTTCCAAAATTCTTTCACTCTCTCAAATAGCAAATGCTTGCATGTGATACACTTAACTCCAAACCTTACATAATAATGGACTGCATATTATTTTGCTATGTTGCAAATACTATATTGGGCAACTGTGAAAGCCCAAAGATATAATAGTTATAGAGACTGCTGATTCCACTATCAGCTGAAGTTCTATTTAGGTGTCGACCAAAAATAAGGGGGTAATTTCTGGAGTGATCATTGTCCCTATGATCAGATATTCCTCCTGGAGGCAGTGAATGCTGCATGTCTAGGTATCTCAATTGAAAATTTAGATGAGGGATGGCAACAGATTCTACTTATGGTGTATAGCAAGAGAGGACATTAGGTGTAATGACTAGACAGACTAAACTGTTTCTGTGATGTAGGTTTTTAATTATTGGATATTTTTTCAATCGCTTAATTTGTTCCTATACAGTTAATATATATAATTACAATACAGAACAAACTACAGAGTAAATAATTCTTTACTACTTCATAAATTTACATAAAAATTTCATAAGCAGATATTCACATGAAATTCAGACCGGTCTTGATATTAACTCAAGCAAATTACAAAGCTAAAGAAACACAGCGTTCCAAAACATACAAAAGGTAATGTGTTACTGAAATTTATTCAATACTTGGTGAAGTAGCCTTTATTTGCCTTTGTTTGCAACAGCTTCAAGACATTTCCTGTACAAAGAAACTAATCTCTCACAGTGTTCATTGTGATTTTGGCCCATTCTTCTACACAGAGAGTTTTTAAATTTTGAATATTCCAGGCAGTCCACTGGTGAACCTTGATCTTCAGTTCCTTCCACACATTTTGTATTGGGTTAAGTCTGGTGATTGACTATGTTTGGATCGTTGTCCTGCTGGAAGGACCACGTGTCATCCTTGTCATCGGGGTGGATGGCAATAGATTCTTCTCAAGAATTCCCTGGTGCATGGCTCCATTCATCTTTCCTTCAATCATTTAGAATCCACTGGTACCATGAGAGAAGGAGAAACGACCTCATACCATAATGCTTCCACCTCCAAATTTCACTGTTGGGTCATATGCAGAGCCATATGCAGGTGTGGTATTTTCGGCTTGTGTAACCACACTACATTCTCCCAGTAATCTACAGGCTTCTCCAAATGTTCTGTTGCAAATTTCAAAGAAGCTTCAGCATGCCTTTTCTTCAGTAATGGAGTCTTCCAGGGTGATCGCAAATGGAGAGTATGGTGGAGTACATTGCCTGTTGTTTTTTTTTTGTGACAACTCAACCTGCTGCTTGACCAAATTTCTGACTTTCCGGTTGGAAATTTTGCGAGAAGCTCCTGTGCATGGCCATTTGATGGTCGAGTGATATTCTTTCCACTTGTGGATAATTACTCCCATGGTGCTCATAGGAACATTCAGGAGATGAGAAATCCATCGGAACCAGTGTGATTGCTATGCTGCTCTTGTTGCGAAGGTCTTGGGAGAGTTTTTTGGTTGTACCCATCATGACATGTTTTTGTGTGACAGCTTGGTGACAAATGATAGTTGCGTTTTGAGGTGGGTACCCCTTTTTTAAAGAGTGGAAGCACTAAACCACCAAAATGCACTAACCCAGCTGATTCTAATTAGCATAGTTAGGAGAACTAATTAGTACAATCAGCTACTTTAGTGCTTTTTTTTCTTAACTGAGTTCAATACTTTTTCCTGTGTCATTCCACTTGGAATGTTACAGTTTCTTTGGCTGTGTAGTTTTATCAAGTTAAATTTCATGTGAATAGCTGCATTGGAAATATGATTAATAAAATGTTGACGTTTTTTAATACTTTCATTAATATAAATGGCAAGAGTTGGCAGTGTTTCTTAAGTGGCTGTGATTGCCAGAGTATTCTTGTTGTAAGAACACTAGTCTTGTGGTGTGTTCAGACTTGGCGGATTTGGTTAGATTAAAACGAACCCTGGTGTGATTGCTCTGTTAGTGCGATTCATTAAAGCAAGTAAGAATGCTTCCATCCAAACTCTGGTATGGACATAATATGCAGACTTGCTTCAAAACGAACTCTTATGCAGTTTGTCTGACATAATACAAACCAAAGATGTCTAAACGGACCAAACGTATTAAGGTGCCAGTGTTTCTCCGTATCCCACTGAAGGCTGTGTTAGAGGGATTTCACCTTGCTTTGGGTCGTGCAAAACCACGGTAATGCAGTAGCTTATTGCTCTAATATCACAAGACAGATGAAATCAGAAATGAGTAAAAACAACAAGCCCAGATATACAGAAAACAGCATGTTTCAGAAAGTCCGGTGGACATTAAATGTCATGAAATCTGCCCAATCAGTTGTGAGCTTTTACTCATATGACTTTTATTTACATTTTTTGGTTCAACGTTAAGTATGTTAGTGTGAATGATATGCAAACCAGAACTAAAATGCAACAGTGTATCATCTCCTGCTTTGGTCCAGACCAAGGGAACCAAACTACAAGTATAAACGCAAGGCATTTCTGCCATGTTTTGGTCACTGTAGAGCATTTTGAGCATAAAATGAACCGTTATGCTGAGCTGTGAGTTTTAAAAGAGTTTTAAACTAGATACTGAAAAATGCTGATGCTTAAATGAAACTGTAAATCTGCATTGTATATTAAACTGTGTTTAAAATTAATATGACAAATGATTAAAAACCTTAAAAAGGCATTGTCGCCTAGTGAAACCTACGCTCTGTTTTACAGACCTGAACAAGAACCGGAGAAAGCTCTTTGAGCCACCTAACATCCGCTCCTCGTTTCTGGAGGGAGGAGCCAGCGGGCGCCTGCCGCGTCAGTTCCACACGGACATCGCCAGCGTGAGCGGCCGCTGGTAAAGTCCGCGGCCACCTGCCCACTCATTGCTGACGCGCGGACAGCCTTAACTGCACAAAGCCATTCCCTACACCCTTGCCTTACAAACAGTACTGGACCAAACCCTTGCTCTCTGAATCAGTGCCAAAAAAACAAAAATGAGAATGTCTTACGGAATTAAAGGGTAAGTTCAGCGGACTCTTGTAAATGTTGATTATTATGTACGATTTGGTACTCTATGCAGTATGGTACTCATATGAAAATGAAGGTAATATTGAAGGATCTATAGAGCTCCTGCACTGTCATATAACGAGCTGTCGGAGTACGTGGTTCAAAGTTTAGATTTTTATTTATATCCTCGTTTTAGGCTTATGTCATACTAATTCTTTGCACTTTAAGAATACTAAATTCTTTGCCCGAAGGCCGATTCCTCTCTGGCCTACCCTATAAATGTGCATGGAGCATGTATAGCACTTACATGGATAATCATGAAGATAAGGTTTCAAAAAAGACTGCATCACAACTCAGCCTTTTGCCACGATGCATTGGAACACCCACACCTACTATGATTGTTTATTTAGCAGTTTCCTGTTCCTCTTACACAGTGTGCTGCAGTTAGTAGCTGTGCCTATTTTGGACGTACTTTATAGTGGCTTGCTCACTGGTGCATCACTGATGTCCTCTGACACAAACTCGGAGACTCAGTTTCAGACTCTATGCTTCTGGCCAACAAACCACGAGCTTAAAAACAAACAGACTCGGGCGCTTCACTCACTCCCCACGTGAGGTACAGCTCAGTGTAGCCTGGGCAAATCGCCTGACCAAACTCTGAGCATTACTAATGCACGGCTTAGTCTGCGGTCCAGCTGTTTTTGTCTTAACTACCTCCTTGTCTGCCTTTCACCACTTTCTTTGAGCTATGCAACTTTGGAATAACCTGAAGGCCTTACCTGAAATTTTAGAATTCTGTCAGTGTCGTAATTATTACTAATAATCAGTCTTCACTAAACATAAACACTACGCCATCCTAAAGTGCAAAAGTTGGAGGCCAAGCTTCATTTATTTAATTTCAAGTAAAAATGGCCCTTATATACAAAATATTCGTATTTCAGAAAGATATTGCTGAGGAGATCAGATACAAGAGAATCCACTTGTATAGGGAGGGGAAAGTGAAAGGAAAATGCCACCATGTAATAAACAGCAGTTAAGTCTTTGATCTTTGAGAGGAGGAAATCAAGCTCCACTCTTGCTTCAGATCTGAAAAAATCCATACAGTTTCTGTCTGTGGGAAGACCACTTATACAGTGAGCCTGAAAGCATGTATAACTTTCAAGAAGCTGTTTCTGAGAACAGCCAGAACAGTGCACCCCATAGCCCAGACCATCATTGAATGTGTTTGGATACGTGGATCATGAGAAGCACAAAAAAAACAACTTCTAAGACTGAACTTTGGAGATGTAGAAAAATATCCCAGATTTCTTTGAAAAAGTAAAAACAAGTCTCCCTAAAAGAATGCAAGCTGTAATAAAGTTAAATTGTGGACAAAGTAAATACTGAAAACAGAAATTATATTTAGTTGTTGAGGCTTTGGTGTAATTTTGCATTAAATATGTTTTCTACTTTTGTCCTGATGCTGGAAATGAATAACTGGAAATTCAGTAAATCAAGGGTGGTCTCTGACTTTTGCACAGTACTGCATTTTCTTATGTGTCCTTTATCAGCTGAAGCAAGTAGGTTTTTCATATGAGATTTGAGAAGCAATTGTCCAAGTTGTGTTACACTATACACATCTAAAGCTGTGAATGTTGCCAGTCATTCTCTCGAGGTTGAAACCACCAAGTGCCTTTCCATGCACTGTCAACTTTCCAGAAAAAAAAAACAAAAATGCAACTAAAGAATTGAATCTTGTCTTGCGAAGGTACAGTGTTTTGACATAGATGTAGCTAAACCACTCATGGAGTAATCTCGCAATGCATCGCTTAATCTTACATGTATAGTATTCTTGTATTTGCATTTAATTGTTGTATATGACCTCGTATGTGATAGAGGTACTGTTGAGTTATGTATTGTGCATATTGCAGTTTTATAGTCTTTTATATTTTTGTGTACTAGTTTGTCATGGTAACTTCCAGACAGCAGCAAATGATCAGTTAGTAGTAGTTCATAGTATTTTTTTTGTTTTGTTTTGTTTTGTTTTTTGATATCAAATTTGGACTCATGTACAAGTGAAAGGGGGGGGGGATCTCCCTGTATTGTGCAGTTCTCCAGTCAGTATTAACTGAAAAATCAAATCAACCGACTATGCAAAGAGATCACTTTGCCATATAGTATATGTTTTCTACTTAAAGCACATAAGCGCCAGAGTCGTGTTCCAATCAAGTTCACGGGCTGCCTGATTCCAGTATATTGCAGTCTTGATATACCTTCGATTCTTAGATTAGTGCTTTGGATGCATCAAGTGCTTTTTTATCTGTATGATTTGTGAGAGACCAAACTGTAATTCAATTGTCGAATTGTTTCTTTCTCTCCCTAAGGAGAACATAAGGAAAGGGTGGAAAAGAAGTCTTGTTATTTTGGACATGGCCTTGTGACCAGGGCCAGCACTTTTTTTTTTTTAAATATATATTTTGGGCCAAAGTCAAATGAACAACTGCTCCACAATGATCATGTACATTAGCGTACAGGACAGCCATGTTGGAGCGTTATTGTTGCTAAGAAGGGAATATGCAAAAGCACTAATCAGTATTCTTCTGCCAAATGTTTTGTTCTCCCTGTCGTACATGTCAATAAAGTTGCTTAGTTGGCCAGTGCCTTGGGAATGACTCTTTTGAAATCTGTGCCTTCGACACAGATCAGTTACTCCTTGCTAATGTTCTTTGTTGTTACAATATAAATTTGTATTACCATGGACATGTGGTACTGTTGAATGTTCTTTACAAGTTGGAGGCCTTGTTACAAAAGAATAAAATGTATGTAAACCTTTCCCAGGCTACATTCTCATTTTGTGGTCTAGATACATTTCCATATCATGAGCTTAGAATTATAAGGTTCTGTCTGACTTTTTTGTCAAAACTGAGTTATGTACATACATTTAATCATTTATAGCACTGCCGATGAATCTGGGATAACCAGTCAAAATTCATGGTTTACCCATGTGGCCAAGCTCAGCAATAAATTGCTTACAGGGGACAGGTTTAACACTTAGAGATTTTTTTATTTGATTTTAAATAAAATGTACTTTATTTTTAATTATTTTAAATTAGTATAAGTATTATTAAGTATTATTGTTAGAAATACAATTATATAATTATAAATACATTGAAATTTAATATTATATTTAATTTTTAAATATATTTAAATATGTATTATTTCAATATTTAATGTATTTTATTTGATCAAATACAATAAATATTTAAAATATATTATAGATAATATATATAAGAAATATTTGTGAGAAGCAGAAAATTCAACCAATTACTAAGACTGAACTTTGGAGTTGTCGAAAAATATCCCTGTACATTTGTTCAAAAACTGAAACAAAAAGAATGGAAGACGGAAAGCTGTCATAAATGGAAATGTTGGGCTAATACTAAATATTGAAAGAATTTGTTTAGAGGGTTTGGCTGTGAAGCCAGGTTTAATCCTTAGAGTTTTAAGCTATTTAGTAAGAAATATTTTTAGTGAAAAGTAATTTAATACACAGTTACTACTGCTGACTGACTAACTCATTTGAAACTGACTTCAAGTTAGAGGCTGTTATTTAGCTAGCTACAATGTTAGCTATAGTGGTCAGCTTGATAGCCATCTAGCTAAAGGACAGAGAACTAACTAGCTCAATGAGCTCAACGAGTTCAATGAATACAGTCATTGGAGGTCTTAGTTGGCTAAGAAATAAAGTTAGGTACTTATCTGACTGATGTTCGTTAGCCTAACTGATATCAGAGACATTACAAAGGAGGAGAAGACGATTCACTGGTTGAAAAATGAATGGGATAACTTGTATTGATGAACATTACATCTGTTTATAGGGAATATCCCAACCTTAAAAAACAGCCAATCAGCTGGTAAAGACCACAAGCAGGAAAAACCCTCCCTGATGTGGAGATACTAGCACATGTGAAGTAGCCTGAACAAGTGAAAAAACTCCAGTGCTTTCTATATAGTATAAACGTTTTTGAAACGTACACCATGTAAAGGGCAACAGGCATTTTCATATTATGTCAAAAACTGAAAAACGACAAAAACAGAGATAGAGAGGAAGGTTTTCTTCCAACAACAGCGATGTCCTGCTGTGATTCTCTTAAAAATAACAAGATCAACAGACTTTCCTGAAAGGTTTTTGATGATATCCGGCTGAATTTAGCTAATTTACCTAATTTGCAATTAAGATAAAAAGTCACTAAAATAACTGCAGTAATCTCAAATTACTAACATCCATGTAACATTATATTATGGAATTAATTTCTGGGTTGAGAACTGTATATAGTTTTTCATGGTTCTTAAAGGGGGCCAGTAATGGCTAATTTAAGTTACTTATTCAGAAGTCTTAGACTTAGATTACCAAAGAATGCTACTTGTTCAAAAGTTCAGTGCACATAAAAGAATATTTCATTCATTACAATTTTTTTCATATTCTTGTAGGGCACATATATAAATTTTCCCTATAGTACTGAATTCTCATACTAATGTAGTGCAACGTTTATACTATGAAATTAACCTCTTCTGATGCTCATTTCTTAATTCCTCTTCGTAATTTCCAGCTGGGAATATTATGGGAATTAACATGCTGATGATATTAATGTAGCTACTGAAACCTGTGCAAATATTTGAAAATGAATGTAAAACAGTGTATGTTACATTGAAACATCTGCCTTTGTATGTGTCTACATTGCACATATTTTAAGCATTTATGACAACAGAGTTTGAGTTTAATCGTTGATAGAACCGTATAATTCTCAACACAAAGTGAGCTCTGAGAATTAAAAGGTTCTGTTTTTCCAAATATCCTAGGATTTTAGCCTTCAGTGGTCAAAAGTATCTCAGAACAGTGATACAGAAGATATGAAACTTAATTGTACAACATTAGAGTTTTGCTATTTTAAGTGAAATCAATATCTTAAAACTGCACTGAATGCAGATTCTAAGCCTACAATATGTTGCAAAGTGGGGTAATGCAAGAAGTCTTTCTCTTAGCTTTAAATCCCAAGATCTCTTTTCCTACCAACAGTCATTTTACAGCGCACAAAAAACATCATGAAGAAAAGCACAATTTGTCAGTTTTTCTGTGATTCATCTCTCTGGAATCTTACGCCAGTGAACCCATCCACCTCGGCATGGGTATTTATTGGCCCCTTTTGCTTCGTCAGTGCTGGGCATATGGAAGTGGTGATGAATGCTGGTCCATCCACACTAACCAGAGAAGAAGAGTAGAGGTTTAAAGGGACAAGCCAGTATTTTTCATTTATACACACACACACACACACATTTTAGAGTTTTTTTTTTTTCCAAATTTTTTCATTGAAATGCTCCTACACTGTATAAGACCATTTAAAACCTGTAACTGGATGCAGTTATATGACCTGTGGGAATCAATGGGCAGCCCCAACACCAGAACATCTTTGTTAGATGGGCTATCTGTTGCATTTGGGGGGATCCTAAACTGTGAAGTACACACACACACACACACACACACACACACACTTTCTAAACCGCTTATCCTTCTGGGTCACAGGGGGAGCTGGAGCCTATAACTGTGAAGTATCCCAGGCTAAAGCATACTGCTATGGAACAATTATATGTTACCTTTAATGACTCAATGTGTGGAAGTGGATCTTTGTTTTGGTATTTCTGCATAGCCTAAGCTATTTGTATGGGTAGAAAAAAACTCTACTCTGTCAAGCTAGTGAGTCTCAGATTTGCATAACCCTTAGATGTGAAACACAGGTGCATTGCTAAAGAACTAAAAATTTGAGAATTTGAGATAATGGTTAATAACAATTAATAAGCAGGGATTAAAGGGCTAAGAATGGGGCTTGGGATTGACTACCTAAACTATTCTGTCACGATTCAGCCACAATATTCTAAGCAACTGATGTGTGTGAGAGCAGCTTTGGGCCTTCTCAGGATCAAACTATGGCCCCCACTCAACATGTAATAAAAATGAATAGATAACTGATAAAGCAATGTTACAGCAATTCTCAGATGAAAAATGTGAACATGTGAAATGTGTACAGTACCTAAGGAAGTTAAAGTGCTTCCATGTCAGCTAGCTGAATTCTTTCCATAGGTTAACAGCTTGTTCTCCCACTTAAACACAGCACATTTAGCCACATCACTACGCAAGCCAGCATCAACTTTTTGTAAGTTAGGCCATGCATACACTTAGAGATGAATTTCACCAATTTGTCAAGTTTTCATTTGATAATCAGTAATTTAGAGTGGTTTGATGTGAAGTGGCTCATTGTAGAGGAACTTACAGACTCAGATTTCTTTATGGTGGTGTTGATAGGAACCAGAGGTCACCATGTATATGGCACAAATATAGCCATTTTATTTACTGTCCAAAATTACTAGTGAACCTACATGTGCCCTGAGTTTTTATGTGTAATGTTGATGATGGTAAAACAGTCATAAATCTGAAAAAATATATTTTCTTTCGGGATTATTTTGCCTTACAACACCCTGCATGTACTCCTCTGCCATGAACAGATTAAAATAAAAGGGATTAAAATACATTAAGTCACAACTTTAGCTCAAAACTATCATGAAACAATGCATCAGACATTGGTGTATATCTAACCATTTCATGAAATAACTTTCTATAAGGGAGCTTTCATTTCAGAGGCATTAAACTCTTCAGACGTCTGGTTCCTATCACCACCGCTGTGAACAATTCTGACTCAGCAAGTGGAGCATTTCACACTAAACCATGGTGAATGACATTATTTACATCTCAAACATATAATTATGTAGAATTTTTTGAAAAACTGTTGTGTCAACTTATGACAGTGACAGTTTTCGTTACTCTGTACCTGCCTAAGGGCATTAACTTTCTGAGCCATATCTTGCTTGAAGCACAGATTTCATTAAAAATAACTTTTAAAACTCTTATTTTGAGAAAGGGGTTGAACTGTTTCTTTAACAAGCAAAGAACATCACCACACCCGAGCTGACTGGGCCCGAGTCCTTGCCATATGTCACGAGTGTCAGTGAGCTCACAGACACATTCCCAGATGGGCCTTAGAAGGACTAACTTTTTCTTTATTTGTTTCACTGTCCAACTTCATAATGAACCCAAAGATGAACGAGGAATGCAGGGATGTGGAGGGATACAATACAGTATGGAAGCGAGATGAAATTGTTGCAATATTTCATCTGAAAATATGTTTTTCCTGGATTCCCTCTTAGTGTACTGTAAATTGGGCCTCCCACGCCAAAGCCGTTCCAAAAATCAAGATGGGCGACTTGCGGCCTGCGGTGAAGGCTCTGAAAAAAAAGTGCAACAATTCGCTTTTTTGTGTCTTGTTTTATTTTCCTCTGGCGTGGTTGTGTCTTTGCATTTTGAATCCCACCGCATTTGTTTGGATCTTGGGTGCATGGAGGCAGGAGGGGGATGGAGTTCAATTCTCTGCACCACAACACTCTAAAGAAACACTCAAGAATGAACTCAATGGACACAAACGCAAAACCAACCCTATTTGGAGCAGTAGTGCTAGTTATGAGGGATTCTTTAATGATACGTGTAGCCAAAATGTCAGAATCATGTTTTCTTCCTGTCATTTTGAGGGACGGGGAAAAACAGTGTCATTTCATTAAAAATCTGTTTCGCATTGAGGCATTAGGTTTACCAGCGGTTTCCTAAATATCTCTCACTATGCACTTTGACCACATGATGTTTTCTTTCTGCAGGAGTAGGAGGAAAGTGAGATCTTTTGCTTTTGGAGAAAGCTCATCTATCATCGAATGTCCTCGCACAATTCCAGA